TCAGAACATCAGAACTTACCTTGATACCCGATGACATCGACGAGACCTTCCGTCGCATGGCCCTCAGGCAGAGAACAAGACTGAGAACAAATCCGCCTCCTGGCCGTCCAGCACAACCAGGACGACCCATCCTCAGACCTGGCCCCCAGAGATTGACTCGAGATGCTGTTACTGCTCTTGGGTCTATTCCCATACTGCAGCCACAGGTGGCAGCAATTACTTCTGCAGAAGAGGAGTTCCTAGAGGATGCCTACCAGGAAGTGACACCATCGACAGAGCATTCCGTCGGTGAACGGCCTGTTTCTCCTACATCGCAGAGAGAGACCCCTTTACAGATCAATTCAATGCAGCCACCAGCGTCACCAGCGTCGCCGGTAAGGTCGCTTCCCTCGCCAGCACTGTCATTACCTTCGCCAGAATCCCCACCACGACGTTCACTCCATGGTGTACTCCCCTTTCGCTTTAGTAGAAGCCGCCGGCCATCTACTACGCAATCACAGCCGGATACAGTTGTGTCAATCGCTCGTACGCCAACAAGATCGCCACTCATTCATGCCAGGTTGGACTCAACGAGAGCCAGCAGCATCGGTGACACCAGTAATAGCTTCACCGTATCTCCCTCTGGCGACTCCACCGAAAGTTCTACCGGACTACGCGGAGGAGGTCGAGCGCGTGATGTCCGTGAACCACCTCATGCTCCGTCTCCGCTGCATCACATGCAGAGACTAAGTTCGCCGGAACATGAAGAGCCCTCCGGCGATCCCACCAAGTCACCAATTACTCCCCGAGAAGACCAGCCTACACTCTACTTGGAAGGTTATTGGCATCACACTCCCCGGGGGGATGAGTATCGCATGCGTAAGAGCACTGAGGTAAGTTGCGATTGTGCGACATGCTTATGAGACATACACTAATTTCGTGACTTCACCTTGACAGGACCGTTTCTGGAGACGACCACCACACAGTGAGCCGCGGCGGGTAAGTGATCGTCAGGATTCAGTTATGCGAAGGTTTTCTTCAGGATCCGCCCCCTCTCTTCTCACAAATCGAAGCCGACCTCCCTCTGGTCTTCCGTTTGACGACATATTCAGCACTTTACCAACGGTTGAACCCCGGCCCAGACGGAACGCTTCAGATTCTACTACTTCTCGCAACGACTATTATTCTACTTCATCAGACATCTTTCGTACTCCTGGTGGCTCGCTCCAGCCAGAGCAGACGAACTTAAGGCCACGACACTTTAGTAGCGATGCTTCAAACGCCAGTGGACAATTCTCTTATTACGGCTCGCTTCCTCCTAGCAGGGGAGCTTCCAGCGGTGGTCCATCGATTGAAAACGACCTTTCTCGATCTCAGATGGACGGAGCGGTGGCCTCAAACGAAGGCCATCGTCCCTTAGCACCTGCAGTTCCTTCCTCAGCTTCCAGACACAGCACATATCGTCCAAATTCTTCAGGAAGCTCAGTTCTCTCTTTTTCCGATAACGTTGGCTCTGGCCCACATGGGGTTTCGCCACTACCTTCGATGCCATACACTCGCAATCAAGGCGACTCTACATCGTCTGATTACACAACCCAGGGGTTAGGCTACATCGTCGACGCAACTACGGCGGCAATGGAGGGTCTTGAATCGCCCCTTAACCCTTTCTCTGAGCACTATCAGCGTCAGCTGCAAGCTGCTCAGGCTCGAATGAATCCCTACACTTACCAGCTTCGCGCAGAAGGGGCACAAGCGCGTAGGTCAAGTCAAGGTCATGGCAGCCGGGCAAATCATTCACGCCATCCCCCACCTCTTCCTGATCAAAGAACGAGGTCTTCTCAGCAAGCTTACTATAGAAGACAAGAATTCCAACAGTCGTTCGAAAATTTGGCGATACATGAGTCAAAAAATCACGAAAGGGGCTCTAATCTTCATGGCAGAGGTGGACGAGGCGATCGGCATTCCCGCGAGAACCCTTCCAGTGTGCCGACATCCAGCTCTGACGCTACTATGCGTGCTGGTAGAGTTCAGGCACAACGGGCTACTTACGAACGATTGCACAACCCTAGAATGGCAATGCAAGTCGAGACCAACATGAACCCCCTCCGTCATAGTATGCCACAACCAACCATCACACACGATGCACCCAGTCGGCGACACTACTTTACCGGTTTCCGCAACGAAGAACACAGGAACAGCCCGTTCAACACGCATCGACGCCCATCACAGAGTCAGACAGCACACCCATTGAGAGGACCTCATGGTGGCGAGCCCGGCGACATTTTCCAAGCCTGTAAGCCTCCTAGTATGAACTGCACACAGAATAAATACTGACCTCCCCACCCATCCAGCTTACCCCCAGCCCACCAGCTCCATCCCCCAACGCGCCTACCGCCCCACGCCTGGCGCCCGCTACCTCAACCCTCCACTCACTCGCGACAGTCCCTTGACGGCTCTCGCTCTAGACCAAGGTAGTGGTACGACAAGTCGACGCTCGCATGACCCGCTTGTTCGCGCTACGACGATGGCACGTACGCATCGCCGCGTTCCACCTGAGCAGCGCGACCAGGAGAATGATGGGGACAGAGAGGCAATGGAGAGGGAGAGGGAGGGTATCAATAGTAGGTATGGTGATGAGGAAGGGGGAAGATCGAGGATGGATGAGACGCCGCCTAGGATTGGGAGAGTGGAGAGGAGAATGAGGGAGGGTGATAGGAATAGGGAGGATGGAGTTAGAGATGTTTGATTAACGATGTTGAAGTTTCGAGGAGGGGACGGGATACGGGCTTTGGTTAGTTTAGAGTATTGTTTTAGATGTTTATGGGAATAGAACTACAAACGACGATTCACGTGTTTTGGATGTGCACGTGCAGTTGGGAGGTATAAAAGCGGTCTTCTGTTCCGATTGATGCTTACTCCCATTGCTCAACGTTCTATCTTCTATTTTTCCAAACCAAAAACCGAGAAACCTAAAATCATGGCGCTTCTCTTCTCCTCCAAAAGCTCAACACATATTCCCATATGCGAATCACCAAAATACTTCAACACTACAGAGATGTTCTCTTTTTTCCTGCCGCTATCTCAGAAAGTCCATCAACATCATACATGTTGAGATCCCTGTCTTCGCGCACCCGAAAAACCTTGTGTTGCAGTATGTATGGATTGGCGAAACTTTTTTGATCCGAACCTACACTGCGCTTGGAGACTATATAAGCCCTCGCAGAGTCTTCGTCTTCCTGTCTCCTCGACCCACATTCAAAACCTATTCTCCAAAATATTAGGATAGGGTTCATATGAATTTTGCGAGCTCGCCCTTGTATGTGTTTGGCATTTCTGAAAATTATTTGCGTCCTAATTATGGACGGTATCTTCTGATATCTTCTTCTTGAAATGTACTCGAAGACCGATCACCTTCACTCCATGCTGTCGAGAAGCCCGTGGCTATTGCGTATATCTACGCTGGATCGTCCCTTCTTCTTCAGCATCCTCAAACCAGGCCGTTTCTCTAAAGCGCGTGGGCTTTGTGCCACGGTCTAGCAACTCTCTCTCCAAAATCGACACGAACCAATCACATGTTGCTTCTCATCCAAAATAATCTACTACATGTGTAAAATACGCGCGATGGTCAACATGAGAGACTGTCGCCGGTCGGTTTCGCTGCTACATCCGATGATTGCACGTGCAAGGCGATGTGTATACAACTTCTCCTCGACCACTCCAGCATTGATTCATCGTCCTCACCTCGTTGCGCGGTTTCTACCAAAAACGAAAAAAAGCTCTTTCTACGATCTCTGTCTTCCTCCAAATCGCAGCCTCACTCACTGATGGCTGTGTGCTCTCAAAACTGGCACAACACCAGCCATGATCTGGTCCGGAACACGAGCATACTTGCTACTCCGAAGCGGTCAGATTCATGTTCTCTATTCCCATCTCTGACGTGCCGAAATACACCTGTAAAAGCCTCATGACCTTTTCTCTCCTTAAAAAACTTCAATACAAGGAGCTGATGGCTGTGTTCCTTCCAAAGGTCATGGTTCAATGGAGCATGATTGGCCCTGGTTTGCGAGCATAAAATCTACTTTGATATGATCCCGCCTTTACTCTCAATTCTTCCGTTCATTCTAAACATTATCAAAAAAAATCCTTTATCAAGGTACATGGACTCTGCTTCCCTCTGAGATCTCCTGACATCTCAGTCATGAATGAGTTTCCCCAAAAGTGGATACGAGCCTAACCTATGACTTGCGAAGAGGATGAGCCAAAAGCTCATACTCAAACCTTTATAATCCCTCCTACTCCTCTTGTAGTCTGGTATGGGCTTCCCGAAATCAAAACATTCGATCAACATGTCCATGAGCCCTGCTCCTTCATAAAAGATCATATTGACCAGATGACAACCTTGTTCTTCCGAAAAGCGATATCTTTGGACATGGTCTGCTCTAAAGTTGCGTGTATAAAGCAACCCTGAAATGATCCAACTTCTTCGCTCTACGCTCCTATCCATCGAAGAATCTTTCCCAAAGTCTTGAAGCAGTGTTCAAATGAGGCCTGCTGCGCTCCGAAAGCCGTGAAAATGACTACATGACGTTTTTTGTCCAGAAAACATTAATATGCTAAAAAATGCTCTTCTTTGGCACCATGTAAAGATCCCACGGTGAGGCACTTCCTCATCTGGGTTTGTTACCACCTTCTTTACTTGCGCTCTTCACAAACCTTGAAGTAAAGAAGATGCGTCGTTGCTCGTGGCGCCAGGCTCTCTGTGTTACAGCTTCTTTCTTGAAAGCTGTTCGCGTCGCTGATGTGTGACTCCGAGTTGCGGATATAAATTCCATCTGCAGGCCTTCCACCACCTTCCCTTCATCTTTGCGCTTCTTGTGCAGTTTACCAAAACTAACGGAGATTCTTCGCATGGCTCTCCCGTTCGTCTAAAACAAGCATACATCTACGTTATGACCATTCGGTCTGGCTAGCAGGTCACAAAGTAGCACTTGTCTCTTTGCAAGACATACTACACGCTCATCATGAGTTATACCCAAAGAGCTCTTCTCAAGACGCATGAGACTGCCACCAGCCTTTCATACGCTTCCATGACACCGAAAGAATCACAAGCAGGTGCCATGTTCTGCTCCTCTTCTTTCGAGAATCTCAAGGTCTTCATTGCCATGTGGAGTTTTGGCGTGGGCTGCAAGTGAGATGGGTGCATCAGAAGCCCAACGAGTCTACTGCATAGCTTTGAGAATGCATATAAGTCTTTACTTACCGGCTTCTTTCTCCACTCATCACTTCACCTATCCTCTCAAAACAAGAAAAGGTCGGTGGTCAGTAGGATGATCTCTGGTCACCTCTAAAACAGAAACCACTAGAAGTTATGGCGGAAGTGTTGTCCAGTCCGATCCTCATTCCTACACGCTGCCGCCTTCTAAGCTCGTCCTCGAAAGTTCAAGCTCAGAGCGCCATGTCTGCGAAGTGAGGCGCCAGTGCTCTCAGGACTGTAAATCCCAACGACGCCTACTCCTCTTATCATCCTCCATCGGCGAAAATCCTCCAGAAAAATTGGACTGGTAGACGAATGTCTGAGCAGAGCCTCTTGTTTCCAAGACACCAAGAACGGTCTTCATGTGTTATTCCTCGTCTCTTTAAGATATAGCTTTGTCGACTGCCTAAAAATGTTGGAGACTATTCAGATAACATTGCCATTCGAAATGTTTGACGGCGGTTGATCCAGAGCATGGCCGAGGACAATGACGTGCCTGTTAAAATCACTCTTCGCGACCCAGGTCTTGATACATTCCGCCCTATGTTGTTTCTTCCAAAATGCAACAAGGTCTGAGTCATGATTTGCTTCTGCCGCAATTGCTTGTACACCTCACACACGCACGTCATATGTGTGCGCCAAAAAGCCATGTTTTTATTCCGAACGCACGTCCCATGGGCGGACGCATTGCGAAACTCTCACGAGCAATTATATCACTGCTTTCATGTTTTGTCCTGAGCACAGCACATGAAGCTCTCGCCGTCTCTTCAAACTCATACAGTAACGTACGATGTGGCCTGATGCAAGACCGGCGACACATTCCAAAGGAGACTGTGCAAGGAATGATACGTGTCGACACGTCACGATTCTTTTCTCGAAAGAGACGACAACGCTTCATGTGCGGGGTCCCGCAGTTGCAAAAGCCCGCGATCGTAAAGGTCCGTGATCGTAAAAGTCTGCGATCGTGAGTCCGCGGAAGCAACATGTAGATACGTGGCGAGGAAGGTCAGATGATGCTAGCACGTAATTGTCAGCTGTTGGTGGACTGCGCCTCTGTCGCATCGTGAGCCTCGGTGGTAGCCGGTACGCTTCGGATCGATAAACCGCCATTGCAATGAGCCATGAATTGCGCGTCGCCAAGAAGCTCTCCGTAAAGCAATCGCCTCTCGATACGTGTTGAACTGTTGCCTACTTGTTATGCAACGCTGCGGTTTGACGTCGGCGAGACGGGGTCCGACGAGACGAAGAGAAGTCGATAACAAAGACTCATATGTGCATCTGCAGCATGGTCGTGTAAAGGCCAGAACCCAATGACGTGCTTTTGGAGGGCCGCGACTCTTCTTGTGGCCACGACCTGCTGAAACCTCGAAGCGCTGAGAATTGGCAGTCGGAACGTTGCACAGTCGCTTCCAACCGCCAGCCCTCAAACAGCGACAAAGCAGATCTCCCGCAGCCTTGCACAAGTAAATTGCGCAAGCAACCACGTACCGGGACAGCTCCAACGGCTGCGACAAGGTCCGATGCTACCATATTTGGGTGATACGAGCGCTTCTGGTGGGCGGCACGCACGAACCGGGCCTCGATATAGCAGCCGCGGGGAATTGGCGACTAGTGAAGAGCCTCATCTGGCGCTTCGGCTAGGTAACCCATTTGGAGGGCTGTAGGATGCAGGGATACGAATTCGAGATTGATGAGGAGTTAGTTTGATCGCTTAGACGGAGAGACTGACAAAGGCAGGTGGTTGACTCCACGAGGAAGAATTGATGCCATCCAGTAGATCACATGTCTCGCTGGCCACGACCTTCTAGAATCGGCAGCGATGATCTGGAGGCATGATTGGCAAAGCGGGTGAGGCGGTGCAGCGGCTGTTGAGGAGGTCTCGAAACTGCGAGGCCTCGACATTGATTGGTACGCTTTAGTTGCATGAAGCCGGTCTGGTGCTTCCCGGCCGGCTGGCATGTCGAGTACAGCTGCCGGTGGTGCGCTGTAGCATGGCAGAAGACGAACATGGCGTTGGTCGTGCTGGCTGTCATCTGTCCTCGCCATCCACCTCGACCTCCGCCTTGCTCAAACAGGCTGGTCGTTGGACATGGCAAGAAACAGGTGTGTTGAAACAAATATGAGTTGTTTACAATGAGTGTCGGCCAATGGAAATGAGCTAAATCCCTGCGCATGACGGCGATCCATGGATCGTGGTGGAGATGCCCGAGCTCTGTCCACATTCTGGCCGAGTGGAGTCAAGATAGACACGCTGTCATGCGACTGACAGATGGCAGGGAGATGGTCAGTTCGGAGTTGATGCTGTATGCTGTGAGTGCCGTGATTCTTGCCGTGGTCCTATGCCACCCACTTGATGCAGATGGATAGACAGTATGCTGCTGGAAAGTGTAGTGGCGGCTGAGCCACGCTCGGTAGTAAATGTGTTCAATACCAAGCTGGACAGGCTCTACTACGCCGAATTACACGCATGCAACGCGTGTTCGTGAGGCAAATGCTTTTCTACCCAAGGTTTTCACGATACCCAAACTGGGCTGGGAGTGGCTGGGCTATCTTGCATTTTGCCCACAAATTCGTCACCGTCATGCTGGCTTCTGTTCCCCAGGTATATGGGAGCAGGTGTGTCGCTACTGCGTGGTCGCATGCTATTCATCAACCATAGTGATCTGGCTCCACTCTAACCCGACTCACCGCTTCAACCTCTGTCTCCCAACCGAGCAACGTGACCCAACTGCGAGGCCAGCAGACCCTCTAGTTCCGGCCAGCCTTCCGCAAGCACCAAGATTGTCGGAATACATATCGCCCACTGCTGCCGCAAACTCGAGGGCCTGTAGTGCAGACCGTGTCAAAGTTGACCGCTGCGCCCACCTCGATCGTTCGTCCACTCTCGTCCCAACATAACTCTCCAACCCGCATCCATCTAAAACATACTCGACCTCCTTCGAAACGCGATTCGCATCACGGCTCTATTGGTTGTCAATTTCTCACGCCTAGAGGGCCCTGCGCTGCGAACAAACCATTGGCTTGCACTTGAAACAGCCTATTCCTGGGGTCCTGCACCTCACCACTCGCAATCTTCCAGGCCTCCCAAACGAGCCAAACAGCCGCTGGCCTGAGTCCGGCGTGGCGCGCTACGTAGCTGTTTCCTGCCTGTAAGCCGCATCCATTGGGTCCCACACGCAGCCGCCGAACCACCACCCCCAAAGGATTCGACCCTCGACTTAGCATCGCATCTCTACCCGCTCAAGGGGTGTGCGTTCTTAAGTATCACGCTTTCTGCCGTCGATACTTCTTCCTCACAGTCAGTCACCGGCTTCACTTCTTCATCTCCCCTTCTTTCCTCCCTGCCATCCTAGCGGTGCAGGTGCCTTCTCCACACTCCGGTAGTGATTCGCGCTCCACCATCCGACGCTCCCAATTCCCAGACGGCAGTGCCATCGACCATCCCTTCTTTAAACCCACAAAAAAATATTTCGACTGGACTCGGAATCTTCCCATAATAATCGTTGCCTTGCGAATTCTGCCCTCTCAACCTCGTCGTCAGCCACGCAGCCTCGGACACCCGCTTACCATCGTTCAGACCGGAATTGCGACTTCGCCTCACAGGGCATACAGCAACCACAGCAACAACTACATCTCGACATTCACTTAAGACTCTATCACCACCCTCACTACACATCGCCATCATCAACATGCCTTACTCACCAAATCTCGTTGCCGAGAACCAGGCTGCTCTGGACCACTTCATCCAGCTCCCTGTATCACATGACATGATCTCGTATCTTGCACAAAAGGCCACACAAGTCATTCGCTGCGAACCATCAATCAACAAGAACCTCCCACCGACACCACCAGCATCGCCTCCTCAGCATGCTGCCTCCAGTATCCGTGAGCCTGCGCTGCCATCGGTAGAAGAGTTTATCACATCCATCGTCGAAAGGTCCCACGTTCAGACTGCTACCCTCATGACTTCCCTCGTCTACCTCAGCCGGTTACGGTCGCGTCTTCCTCCCGTCGCCAAGGGCATGCGATGCACTGTTCACCGCATCTTCCTCGCCTCTCTCATCCTTGCAGCCAAGAACCTCAATGACTCCTCGCCCAAGAACAAGCACTGGGCCAGGTACAGCGCTGTCCGTGGCTACGAGAACTTTGGCTTCTCCATTACTGAGGTCAACCTTATGGAGAAGCAGCTGTTGTTCCTCCTTGACTGGGATCTCCGCATCAACCCCGAGGATCTCTACTACCACCTCGAGCCATTCCTAGCGCCCATCCGTGTCTGGCAATCCCGCCAAGCCGAGAAGGCCAGGCTTGCAGAGAAAGAGAAGGAGCTTGCACGTCAACAGTACCAGCTTTCCGTCGAGAACCTCTCGCGCTCGACCAAGGCCTACCCATCAAACTCATCGCTTTCATCATATGCCTCTCGTCCCCAGAGGCATCCCGCTCCTCGCTACATTCCATCATCCCGCGCAGCATCGCGCACCCCATCTCTATCGCCACCCACTAGGAGCTCGTCCGTCTCAACATCGTCCGACTCGCCCGACAGCTTCCTTGACGAGCCTTCAGAGGCTATCCTCCAGCGCTACGACGCAGACATGGGCGCCAATCTTGTATATATCAATGGCCCCATCTCGTCATATGCACCAAAGCAGCAACACACCCTCCCGTTGTACGACACGCAGCCCTCGAAGAAGGCCAAGACGTCAGCGGGCGGCATCTTCAGCAGAATGTTTGGCCAGACTGGCGCCTACGCCGGCCGCCAAACTGGCTATTAATTCTATTCGCTATTTCACCGTTCTATCCACCACACTGTCGCTTACCGACCTTACGACTTTCCTAGTTTCCATGACATGATCCGATGAAAGATGCTCACTGGATGGACATCTCTTCGCCCATCTCATCAACCTTTGCATCGGCAGGCGTTTACACAATTAGCATTTGCACAGCACAGCATTGTACCGGCGTTGGATATCATCATCATCATCATCTTGAATCGCATCTATATTGCGTCTCGGCGCGACCGACTCAGAACAGTTTAGCTTAGCTAGCTTACCATTTATCCGTTCCCTGCACTTGTTTGCGGCAACGCGAGTAATGAATAAAAAATCCGTCAAAACGCATTTTTCCGTCTCTCCGAGGTACTTGGCAACGGGTGTTCGTGATAAATGACTCTTGCTTTGTTCTTGCAATTTCCGTAGATTGGGGACTGACATGCGCGCTAGGTTCGACGGGTATCTATCTAGTTAGTGCAGAAGGCTAACTTACACATTAGGTGGCGTGCGGCTCATCAAGCGACTCATCAATACGCAACTGTGGACACTGCATGAAAGAATCACGCGAGAGATATTGAAGGATGGCGATCTATCGCTGTAATTCGTACGAAGCGATGCAAGAGGGGTTCAGGAGGGCTGTACAGAGGGCACCTCAGCAATCAACCACAGGCATAAATCACGGCATAGATCACACCGGTCACTAGTCTACACATCTATATGGTACAGCCACGAAGCTATACAGGACCTGAGTTTCCACGTCTTGCGACGCTGTCCAGTCATCTTTGCCTTGTACTACATTCTTTGACGGGCCGTCTGCGCAGCCACAATAGGCAGACTAATCTAGCGACCACACATAATCAGCTATTATGCATGCTACCTAAACATCTACTACAAGGCCACAACGCCCAATATCTGCCAACCTCAGCACTGAGGTCGACCGAGGCTAAGTCGTGCCGGTGAAAAACCGTCAACGACATCATACCTCCACTATACTTGGTGATCACAGCTAATCACATTCACAACCGGCGGTAAGCCCGGCATGTACCAAATTCTATACCCGAGGCACTCTCCGAAAGCGCACCGATAAAGAAATGAGCAAAAGGCAGCTTATGATGCAAGATGCAACGGCAACACAATATCGTGTATGCAGGAGTCAAGGAGTTTGGACCGCGTAGATCAAACGCGGTTTGGGGTGGGATAAGAAGTACGCTTGCCTTTTTTGAGCATGGCAGGGTGGGAACGCTGGGTTTCAGATGTGCAGCTTGGCGCTAGAGTGCTTGGGTGTGGTTGGTCGGTTCCAGGGGCATAGTCAGCCGAGGAGGGTGAAGACTAATGCTGGGATTGCTGGCTTCGTTGTTTTTTGCATGTGCGGCAGATGCGTTGGCATCAGTTTACCGTCTGTTGAGGCTGCTTGTACAATGGGGCTGGGGAAGATGGACATGGACTAAGCAACTTGGTGATGTCATCAGTCGTGAGCTTGGGCTTGGGGTCGTGGTCGGGCGAGTCTCAGTCTGCGACGCGGTGATGCTATGCACGATACTCTTTATCGGTCTGGTCAATTGAGGAAGCATGCTTCCGCTTCGCTTACTGGACAGATGGCGATGCTGTCCCGTTACCAAGGTACCTATCTTGCGATGCGCCAGATGAACCGTTCGCCGCGTTTTGATCGCGCACCAGATCTCGCTGCACCTAGCAACTCTCCAACTACGAGATTGCCGATGAAGTACTGTTCGTACTATCTAGAAGGATTATGCTGATCGAGCGCATCCGGTAGTTGACAATGCTTCCAAGTCATCTCTCAATGCTCTTCTCCCACATCAAGAAGGCGCATTATCTGCCAACCCGACAAGACCAACACATGAACTCAGCAAGGAGATGCCATACTCATCCAGTCCAATATTTGCACAATATCGATAATTGACACATGTATGCTTTCATGCAGGAGAAGTTATGCTCAAACGTACCTCATCAGGCCTTTTCACAGTGGGTCTCAAGTCTCAGGCATGAATCTCGCCGCACCTGATACAACAACTGTCAACACTTTCTTGGGGCACGGTAGGCTACCAAGCCGAACATTCAACCACCGTCTAAGATGTTCAAATCGCGAATCCATCGATTTTGCATTCTATCACTCGTTCATCCACCTTGAAGGTTTTCTTTCGTAACCGCTGGCCGGTCCCTTTTCACTCGTTTAATTTTGTAATGGTTCGACAATTCACTTTTCTACCTAGCGATCGAAGGCCGACTGGAAATGATGGCCGAACGATGCGACATAGCCACTGGGGACGCTACAATACCTTCTACGGACTTTCGTTTACGACAACCCTCTCGACAGTGCTTTTGCTTTCACAACTCAACGAATGGCGTGTAACTGGAGAGCTCTTCACTTTGGCAAACAGATTCCCTGGTTCCGCAGCGCTTGTTGTACAGCTTCTCGCCGCTTTCTTCGGACTTTTACATCTTGCGGTCATCTGCAAACTCATGAACTATGCACTTCGACTACGTCTTGCCAACGTGAGCGTGTCCCTGGACGTGTTGCGTACATGGGTGGATATGAGCATCATGAGAGTGGACTGGGACTTGCCCCTACGCTTCTTCTTTCCATCCGTCCTTGTCGTGCTACTCAGTCTTGTACCTGCAGCGCTTTGGGCTGGTTCAATGACACCATCGGTATCGCGTACCGTAGGCAGCGGCATGCTTCTTATACCCAGTTATGAAGACGTCTCGATGATCAAGGAATACCCGATGATGATTGGCAGCTCAGGACCGTCAATGCGTTCACAAAAAGGCTTCTTCACCTATTCAGTTGGTCAACAACAAAGCAGTCAGCTTCTTGCATCTGCAGCTCAAGCCTCTTCCTTTGGTATGGATTCGCATGTCCACCGCAAGCTCGACAACACACGTTTCAGCTACCGGGGCCGTTCATATGGTGTCGGTGCAGCTGTCGGATTGAAAGACCAAGCAATCACCTCGAACAGCCAGATTGCAGGATATATCTATGAGGAGGCGGGCTATGTGGCAAACGTCACCTGCGCATACAACGCAACTTCCAACTTTACTCTTTCCGGACCAGTCAACGAATGGATATACGCAGCGTCTGGTAATCTCCCGGATAGTGAGGAAGGTCCAGAGTACTCAAATTACATCGGCCACGACGGCAAAGCCATTGTAGCAATGGGTGTGGCATATAGTGATCGTTCGCCTCGTCGCTATCTCTCTATCGCAGCTGGCGAAGCGTATTCCTTTCTCAACACCACGCAATGCGAATTCGACTTTACGCCTACACTGTTCAATATTACCGTCGATGTTGGGAACCTCAGCATCACAGTGAAGCCTATACGGACAATACCCGACTTCAATCCTCAGCGCAACATCACGCGAACTGTTGTACGGCAGTACGAGCTCATGTCCAATGATATGACAAATCTATACGTCTCTCTTCTTGGCGAAGCGTTCAACTCCAGCATCGCAGCATACAAGATGTCACGCGCGTCTGCCACCAACCAAACAATCGACGCAATTCCCCAAGAAGAAGCAACACTTGCCGGTCTCACAAACAGCATGGTCGCCATGGCCGACGACATGTTAGTGGCATACGCATCTGCGCAACTAATGGTCGGACGTATGTTCACACAGCAGCCAGCAAAGGTCTACGTTTACGCCCTGCAATTTGGTCAACCGAGTTACATCTACGCCATCTTCTCTCTCAACCTTGTCATCATTATCGCAGTTGTGTGCGAAGCTTTTCGCACGACAGGCTGGTCTAATCTGGGCCGCTTCAATTACCTCGATCCTCGCGATCTGATCATTGCTGCATCACGGGGTGGGGGCGATATCGCAGCTGCAGCCGACGATATCATGGAGCGGAGAGAAGGGAAGAGGATGAGGCATATTTGGTTATTGAGCGATCCTGATGAGGGGAACGGGTCTCTCATTGTTAATCTGAGAGGAGATCAGAATGGACATGTTAAGATCGAAGTGGGGGCTGGGCAGTGTGAGAAGGATGTAGAGAGGGACGTCGATAGCGAATATCCGGCGGACGAGAAGACAATGTATACGGAGCCAGGGGTTGCGGCGGAGAGAGGGCCGCTGACGCCTAAGACGCCGATGAAGATGAAGGTTGGCATTTTTGGGTCCAAGTAGAAAGAGACATGGATCGAAGACATTGGATCTCGCTAGGCTCGATCTGCGGTGCATACGGTGCGCATTGAACACTTTATCAAAGAACTGAATTAATTACAAGTATTGAGACTAGACATTTTGACACATGATGAGGTCGTGAATCCGAGAAGTCTCACATGACTGATACTGAAACGAGACTTTAGGAACATGGTCATCAACTCTAGATCATCGCAAAAGGATATAACGGCACCCTCGGCTTCATCTTAGCTCGATAGACAGGCACACTACACACAGCGCCTCAACGACGATAAACAAACTACATTTTTACCAGCATATCAGTCATTCAAAAACAAAAAGCTCACTCGTCAGCAATGCTGCCGTTCACCCCCCGCGAACCAATACCATCGGGAGACGATATCACAAGAGCCGATGTCAACGTTCTTGAAAAGATCAACGAGTTCTATCACAGCGCCCAAAACGATCCCGAATACAAGCCGGAAAACTTCGATTGTTGGCTCGACTGTTTGGATCTGTACCAACGCCAGAAGGCGCGACACTACCTTACAGAGCTGCGGCAACACATCCAGTCGCTTGTAGGCCCCTTTCCTAACAACGTTAACTCTGCGCATCGGGAGCTAGAGCGAGCTGGAAAACGTTTGTGCGAGGAGCTCGACGACCTAGATGAGCAAAAACCACAGGAACTAACATGCGAACAAACCCGGGAGGCACAAATCGGTCCGAGGCAACCAGCTCAGGAATCTCAAGCTTCGATCAACTCGACACCGAATGATGATGGAGGCAGACAACCGGTAGGGGTGGCGGTCATGGACATGGACTCGGACATGGACACCTCAGATGACATGGAGGAGGCAGCCGATGAAACAGCGGAAGATGCCTCGGAGGCCATGCAGGAAGCCACGGAAGAGGTGGCTGAGGTAGTAGCACATGTAGTCGAGGCTACAGTAGAGCTGGCAGCGGGAGCGGAACTCGTAACATTCTTGGCTTTGGTCACCTCAGTGATGGTCTTACCTCCCATTGAGTTACTACGTGCGCTAATGATCGCCGTTGCGTTTCTATGCTGCTTCTCGAAGTAACGACAGTTTTCTGTTTGCTGTAGACTTTTTTTCCAGCTTGTTATAGATTCCGAACGTTGCTTTCAGGGTTGTTCTAGACTTGCTTTCACCGCGTTGGCGTTCTTTCTTGTCCCTCCAAACATACAAACTGTACAAATCAGATATATAGACCTTCCTCATCGCTAGTCAACTACTCAATCATCTCACACAGAAAATCTTCTACTTAAATCCCAACGTTCACAGTATTACGATACCTACCATGCCTACCAACGTTTCCGACAACACCCTAGTCACTGACGCCGCTCTTCCGATCAACCCCTCCAGTGCCCCAGAATCCCAGATGGCTTACAAAGAACGCTGCAAGGAGCTGAAGAGAATTATTTACCGTAAGAAGAAGAACATCGACGCAAAACATCGTGACTTCGATAAGCTCCAGGACAGGATCGTAACCGCGGAGAAGGTCAAGCCCGTCGACTCAGCAACCACAGACAAATTGACAAAAGAGCTAGTTGAGCTTCATGCGAACATCGAAGGCATGCTCGGTATACACAACTTCTTCGTTAAGGAGTACCAGACACTTATCGCTGAAAAGAGTGAGAGTGTGAAGGCAAACTTATTCAACGAGATGGGAGCAGTGATAAGCGAGGCTGAGGGTGTGTACTCTGATGATGGAGACAGCCAGGATGAGAATGATCAGGCGGTGTAAACAAGGGTTGTGCTTCCTGACATGTAATGGGAGATGGAGGTGTGCCCTGGGAGCCTACATAGTGGCCTACATTGCTGAAGTATCTTTGAAGCGAATTTACAACAATAGCTTGATAGGTACAACAGAAACGAACCAAGCTTCTTTGTACACTTGGTCAGTGAGGTCACAATTGAAATGATATCTAGACTTTGTGGTTTGACGTAGACTTGCTTTCGAGGTGTTCACAAGATTTTTGTGGTCACAAGTATAGAGGATAGACAAACGATGCGTGATAGATATGTAGACCATCCAGTATCGATTGTTCATTCACTTATCTAGTACGAACACACTACCACTGAGTATCTAGTGTGCCCAAGGTTTTTCGCATTCAGCATGTCTAACAACCCCTCCGACAACAACGATCCACTCGGTAGGTCCTTAACTCTAGGCAATCCTGGCGACACTCCAGAACCCCGTATGATCTACAACGGACGTCGTGTGGTCGTCGAAGCCTACATTGAAAACCTGAAGAACAAAATCCCAGAAATAAAGAGCACCCTTATCGCGCTGAACGACACAATCTCACAGATGGCGAGTGACCCCACCGTTCCGCCAGTAGTCGTTGCGCGCTTGAGAATCGGAGTTTCTCGGCATTTTGAACGCACCGTAACTCAGCAGGATATGCTCAGAAACCTCGAGGAGCAGTATAAGGAACTCGTGGATGAAGAAAACGAGGAGGTGAAGTAGAGGCTTCTGGTTGAGATGAGAGATTTTTTGCTACGAGCACAGGCATACAATCTTTGAATGTTAGTCATCACGATGAGGAAGCAACTTAGTCCTAAGCGGAGACCATCGTGCGTAAATTCTAGTGCTTGATAGCTGAAGCAGTAAAGGTAGCAAATCTTTCAGCAGTCCGCCTACATTCTGTGTTTAGTATCAGGGCAGCGCTAGTATGTGGCGTTCCAAAGCGTATAGTCACTTGACAAAGATGCCCTTCCTTTGTAGATCGCAAGTCAAAGGAGCGCACACCCTGACAGATGCACCAGACACGAGCCTCAACGGTCGGATAACCTAGCGGATACCTTAAAATTCAACGTCCTGGGTATAGCCTAAAACAACAAATATGTTCGTAAAAGTCCAACGATCGCGACAAGAAGATGAAGAGATTGAGAAGCTGTTGAATTGCAGACGGTAAACTATGCGAGTGCTAGGGATGTAATGTAGACGAAAACCTGTGCGCGTACTGGGGATATGAATCGAAAACAACAACCTAATCTGAACAAGAACATGGATCGCATAAACCGAGGAGAATACACGCCGCCTTCTTTTCTGAAACGTAACAGGGCGGACGGCCGCATAGATAGTCCCAATCAGAATCATCGTAGTAGTAGTAACCGTCGTCGTCGTTATCATCATCCAAGTCGTGATCCTTCGCGTCGCCACGTATGCTGAGTGACTTCTAGTACTTGCCATTGTAGAATCCTGACCACAGGGCGCACTCAACGTGGCTGGTCATGAAGAAGACATCTTTAGCGAACTTGGCCCTTGTAGCGGAGGCCAGAGTTGACTGGATTAAGTCGCACTTCTCGGGGTAGAGGTCGCAAAGATCAGCCATACAGACTCCGTAGCTGCCATTGCTATCCTGGATGACCTGGACTTGTTCGCACTCGTCATTCACTCCCTCAGTGACCCAATCCTCATAACGTTCTCCAAATGACGTGAGAGCGGATATGAGGACGTCTCTTACACCATCGCAGTACCTGAGAAGCGGGGGACTGCAAATGGAGTACAAGCAGATCTTTCGAGATCCGGGCTCGATAAGACGGGGCTGGAGGTTGCTGAGTGGAGACAGAACATCCTGACCTGTACCCATGGGGGTGGAGCAGATGCAGGTGTCGTTCAAGTGTCTGCAGAAGTCACAGCCAGGCTCGCACTCGCAGTCACTCCGAGTGACTTTTGGAGCATCGATATCAGGATACATCGTCTTCAGCTCCTGTGTAATCTCCTCACACGGGAAGCCCATCAATAGCGTTACATACTGAGGGTCGCAGATCTTCGGGAATATTATGCGAGTGTGAGACTCTAGCGTCGCTTCGTCGCAAGCTCCAATTCCAGGATGATATTTCCGGACCATGTCACATAGTGCTGGCTTTGTTGTGTTTTGTGGTATGATAGTGTCTGGAGTAGACCGAGGAATTGCGGCGGCGCGGCGTCTTGCTGGATAGACAATCCTAGAAAGACACGGGCTGAGTACCAGTAGCTTCTCGCATTCTGGGCAGTCGGTTTGAACGGCATAGGGCGGAGTGAACAAATGCAGACTAGAAGTGGAAGACTTTGTGGAAGCGACTTTGGTTGACGAGTGGACTTTGGTGGACGAAGTGTGGGCTTTTGTTGACAGCGCAGAAGATGCGAAAGAATCATCAGTAGGTGTTGCGACTGAGGATTTCGCAGGAGGCTCAGAAGCAGGCGTAGCGGTATATTCACCGGTCAACGCTATCGTGTAGGTAAACTTGAGTGCTGAGCCGTCCCTCTCTTCGCAGCAATCAGTGTCCGAATCCGAATCGGTGTCTGCAGCAACTTGAAGGCCGCCTTCTTGAACTTCAGGAAGGACATGGTGGTAGTCGTAACACGCCTTAACTTGTTCCAGAGATGTTGGGTCTTTCTCCGGCGTTGATCGTGGTGAGGTATCGCACAAGACTAGCTCGACGTCATCGGTAGCAGTGCACTGATGGGTCTGGACATTCGCGGAGCCGTACTGAGTAGTGCAGCTGTGGAAAGCGAGGTTGTCTTTGAATGCATCTCCTCGAACTTGGGACAGGTCGACCCAGATCTTGTTATCATCGTTGCCGTCGACAGCGTAAGCAAAGTCGATCTCATCGGCGGACTTGAGGATACCATCTGACTTGGTTGAGATCTTAATAGCGACGCCGGGGTTAACGGTAGAACCATGACGCCATGGCTCTTGATATTGACCACCAGGTTTGATGGGGACGTTGTCGGTATGGGATGAGCTGAGGACTTGAGGTACAGACCAGACGTAGACGTTGTAGGGACAGTGGTTAGTGACAATAGCCCTAGCCTGAGCCAAGGCTACGAAGGTGAGGACGGGAAGGGCGGATCCAAGCATGATGTTCGAGAAGTGAAGCGTAAGAGTTGATCTGTGTTGGTGGCAGTAGAAAGTACTTTTCGACTGGGTTGGAGAAGAAAGGTGGGCTTGGGGGTGGGAAATGGGCTTTTGTAGACAGTGGAGAGGAAATGAAGTTGTTTTCATGACTGATGCCGGCAGCCATGAAGATGCTCGCTGCTGCCGCAGGGTGGAGCGTCTTGGGTAGGAGCATCGCAGGCGTTGGAAGGCAGTACCAAGGCACTACTCTATGTTTGGGCCCATTCAGACTACCGGACTCTTTTGAAAACTTCAATGATAATGTCGAAGTGACATTTAGGGATAACGCAGCTGTGGGAAGTAGTTTATGGATGTTGGCGGCGTGGAATGTTGTTCATCAGGACCCGGTGTGCTTTCCCTCATAACTAGAAGCGCAGTTGCTATATTTCAGGACGTCTTTCCTGAGAAAGCAGCGCATTTCGAGTACCATGGCATCTATGTTCAACATGACGTACAAATATGACTTAGAAGAGAGAGAGAGACAGCTGAAGTCACCCATGAAACGGTCAATTTGGTCATTGGTGACTGCTGACTACCAACGCGCGGCGGGCATACCTACCTTATCTTGAGGAGGATCCGAGAAGCAGCTGTCCCTTGATCTAATGATGGACGCTGTGATGCAGCTACAAAGGTTGACGCGAACTGACGCGTATGGCGATGGCAGGTGCTTAGTAAGCCCCACTTCGACCCAGCATGAAGCACTCCGGCTAGCGTCCTGGAGACCTGAGGCGCGAATGAAACACTGCAAACCTCAGCACCAGCGAGTTTACAATAAGAAGATGATGGCCCCGTGTACTTGTCGCGCAAGTTGCGCCTTCTTACATATTTCATTTTTCGTTCCTGGGTAGCATCATTGTGGTAGTCTGTAAAGCGTCCAATTCGCGTCCAAGCCTCGAATACGCGCCGTCGCGCCCCACCATCCGCCATGATCCAGCAAACCTCCTGTATCGACATGCCAGCCATGTCTTCCGCAATAAAAGAAGTACCCGTTCAACTGCCAAAGAGCTTCGACCGACCCGACGAGCCATGGCACCATTACCTCAATATCGACATGATATGGTATGTCCTCGGATACACGCTCTTCCATCCGTTCGTATCATGGGTTGTGGTACTGTGTCTGCGAGCGCAATACACACCCTATGAGAATATCGAGATGCGCGTTGCAATGGCCTGGGCCATGCTCATGACGGTCAACGGCATCTTCGGGCTCATCAGCGACCGGATTGCATGGGGATCACCGCGTGAGGTAGACCTAGAAGAAGAGGTTATCGTTATAACGGGCGGTGTTGACGGCCTTGGTGGACTGCTTGCGGAGACGTATGGCATGCGCAACGCGAACATTGCCGTCTTGGATATGAAAGAAGTCGACGAGGATGAAGCAGAGAACAAGGGAGTGGTGTACTACAAGTGCGACGTCAGCGATGCGAAGCAAGTGGAAGCTGCAGCAGCCAAGATTGTCGAAGATGTGAGTGGTAATTTTCACGTGTAATCGCACTCTACTAACAACCGCAGCTCGGCGCTCCTACCATCTTGATCAATAATGCTGGCATCGTACAGACCAAGTCAATCCTCGACTCAACCGCTGAAGATGTGGAACGGTACGTGTGTCCTGCAATGGCTCTTGATCTTTTCTGACATTCTCCCAGTACGTTTCGCGTAAACACACTGGCACACTTTACGACCCTCCGCACCTTCGTCCCGTACATGCTGAAAGAAGGCCGCGGCACTATCGTAACCGTCTCGTCTGTCCTTGGCCATCTCGGTGCAGCCAACCTATCCGCGTACACGGCCTCCAAAGCAGCACTTCTCGCACTGCATCACTCGCTTCGCGCAGAACTTGCACAAAACCCTGACGCAAAGGATATCAAGACAATTCTAGTACAACCCGGTCAAATGGGTACAACGATGTTTGCAGGCCTCAAGACTCCAAGCAACTTCCTGGCACCGGTTGTTACGCCAGCCGACATTGGCAAAGATATTATACGGTTGATTGAAAGGGGTGAGAGCGGGGAGATCGCGCTTCCTCTATACTCAAAATACATTCAGATCCTTGGGGTATTGCCTGTAGGCGTACAGCATCTTGTGCGGAAGTGGAGCGGAATGGACAAAGCGGTGGGCAAAATGAAGGAGTCGCGGCAGGGTCCGACCGAGAAGAGGTGATCGGCCTACGTAAAGTCACTCCTTAATGCCTACAGAAGCAGACGCACTCAAATATTGTACAATATACGCTGTAACGACCATGCAACACTTGACATTATGCAGCTCGGAATTCCTTGGTGTTTCGAACGTCCTACCGCACCTCCTGCAGCGTCTGACTGCTACGGCCCGGTTTTGGATAGCACGATTGACTATACTAGCACACAGGGAATAGTCAATTTGGTATTCGCATGTGAACGACGGTTCGCGGGGACCACTAGCGCCGTAGGGCTGATATTAGCGAGCGCTCGCACATCTCGCCGTATTGATTTCGCGGCGACGACGACATCATCAACACAACATAAAAATGTAAGACGACGTCCAGCGCTATGTAGTGCAAAGACGAAATACATGCGACCGAGGCTAATTGACTGCCAGACTTTCTAAACCTCAATCCAACGCAATGGCCGACCAGAAAGCATCCAAGTACTACGCTGCCGAGGAGGAGGCGCAAATGAAGAAGGTATGCGCAATCACAGCGAGGAATTCAAAACTACGGAGAAGACGCGTAAAGATGGAATGTGGAGTTACCGCGAACGCTGAACTAACAAGTCAATTCACAGGCGCGCAAGACGGCACACCCCACCAAATACCGCGAGTCGCTCACCCCCGGCACCGTCCTCATCCTCCTTTCTGGTCGATTCCGTGGCAAGCGCGTCGTGCTTCTGCGCCAGCTCGAACAGGGCGTTCTCCTCATCACCGGCCCCTTCAAGTCTAACGGTGTGCCTCTCCGTCGTGTCAACCACCGCTACGTCATCGCTACTTCCACCGTTGTCGACATCGCTGGTCTCGACGAGGAGGTTGTCGCACGCGTAAGCAAAGACGAGTACTGGGCACGCGAGAAGAAGGACGGCAAGGGCGAAGACGACTTCTTCAAGGACGGCGAGACACCCACAAAGAAGGAGACCGACCCCCAGCGGATAGAAGACCAGAAGAAGGTGGACAAGGCGCTCATGGCCAACATCAAGAGGACTCCCGACCTTGAGTCTTACCTCGGCGCCAGCTTCAGCCTGAGGAGCAACGAGAAGCCCCACGAGATGGTCTTCTAGGTGTCTACACGAGAACGGGACGAGAACGAGACGAAAACTTGCGGCAACGATCCAACCGGGAACGACGGTTCGGACGAGGATGAGCACCCGGACGCTACGAGCGATACGGTACGATTTCATATGTAGATGAGATACCCATGAACCAATTCACAGCACCAACTCTATCCTGCTCGCATCTGCTATACGAACACCTGCAATATTCATGGCCAATTGTTTCTTGTTGTTATCTCCTTGCATGAATATCGCGATCGGTATGAATTGTCGATTTGCTGGCGTGTGCTTCGATACTGACTTCCTGTAGCCCGGACTTTGTGAGAAACCGCGACGTAAGCCAGTATCGAGTCGTTGATCATTTCTCTTATGTGCTCGAGTGCTGACAGACTATCGAGATGATGTTCTTGTCTCGCGGTAGCACCTACCCTGTAGAAAGACACGATGGCGTCGTGGTAGAACGTGTATATGGTCGAAGCTCCCTTCATTTGTACTTTCCAGCACGGGTGAAGAAAGCATCGTGAGCAATACGTCACTATTGCTGAGAATTTCGATATTAGCCCTGCGTGGCTGCTGGTCCGCTTCATCTCATCTGGGTACCACTCCAAGCATTGGTCTCCTGCCTCGAGGTCACCACTGCCATATAGCATCGGTTCTTCGGCATTCCGGTGGAATCGTTCCACGTGGTAAACATACGAGCATGCGAACCGATGATGATAACGCCATGTAGATGACCTCACACCTTTGCCATTGCAGCCACACTCACCTTAACACCTACGCTCTATCTCGCCCTTGCTCACGCATCCTCTCTCTGCAAAAGACTCCGGAATGGCCGGCGATGTGAAGAGGACGCCACTCCAGGAACTAGTCCAGGACACTAAGAGTCAGAACGATCCTAGCCTTGAAACGCACCACGATACCACAGCATGGACCCATACTCTGCGGCAGTTGGAGTACCAAGAACACGTCCTCATTGGAGATAATCTGGGTGCCCGTAAATAGCAGAATATCATCCGGCAGGCTATTCTGGGCCCCAAAAACTCTATCGAGGTCTTTTCGCATTTCCTGAACCTTCGTACGAGCCAACTTGTGCAGACGGATAGCAAGTGGCTTTCCAAAGTTGCTGAAATTGACGCAATCAAAGATGTAGCAGCTCGAGGCTGGACACAGTCTGTAGCATTTCTCTTTCACTTCCCGATCAAGGACTCGCAAGATTCCACAGCCAGCTTTGACGACAAGCAACTTTTCAGCAAGATGACTGCAATTTTTGAATTCGTTCATCTAGACAATACCCCCGCAAAGTCCACAACGCTTCGACGCAATGCAATCGCAGCAAGCGACGAATTGACAAGAGAAGTCAGAACGGTCTGTGATGATATGAAAGCGTCGTCTCCTGTGCAACGCTTTGACTTCCGCAGACAGCAACACGAGAAGCGTGACCCTCTGCCAGATCATGGAGCGAGGGTTATCCAGCGGCTCTTTGATAATGGGGCAAAGGTCAAAGAGGTCGTTTCTTTGTTGGTGATCCTCGCTGTCGATCTCGTCGTACTCAGCACCTTTGCTGTAAGTGTTTCGACCATGCTCGGGTCTAGTTCCTCCTAATGGTGTTTAATTCTGTCAGATAATCGATCTCTTCCTTTCCGAACCCTACCACTCCACACACTGGCCAGACATCCAGAAGCTAGCTAAAGACACAACACCAGCAAACTCTGAAGTACTACGCGCATACGTTCTCGAAGCTCTCCGTCTTATTACACCTGCGACCGGCTTCCTCCGCATTCCAAACACATTTCTCACCACCAGTGATTGGCGCCACACGGAGGGTATCTCGAAGGGTGACGACCTCATCCTAGACATAGCAACTGCATCCTGAGACCCTGAAATCTTCCCAGATCCTGACAACATCAACCTCGATCGACCTCAAAAGCTCTATCTACCCTTTCTTGACGGATTGCACGGGTCGCTGACCAGGCCTATCATCGTTGCTGGTCTAGTCACCCAGTTGCGTATCTTTGCTAGATTAGAAGGTCTCAGAAAGGGGCCGGGTACGCAAGAGACCTTGAGACGGGAGGTTTCAGAGGGTACGATAAGCTTGTTGAGTGAAGCTAAGGATGAGTGGGTATCATTGCCAGTCAGTAAGTGGATGGTTGCTGTATACAGTTTATAGCAAGGCTTCTAATTGTTGCTCACAGGCATGCGAGTACACTACGACGCCTTCGATCCAACTGCGTGCGCAACATCGACATAGCCGAGAGTCTGGCAGATAAGATGCAGTCTAGCTCTCCTTTACTATGATGCCTTCGCTATTGTCACCATAAACTCAGCATGTATTGCTAAGCTCGCTTCGGTTTTCTCATCACAGACAGGTATAACAAAGTTTTATTTCCTCTACCAAATATTTTGACGTGAACAACAACCACTTGATAGCTTCGCGACTTCGATAGCTACTAGCGTTATTTTACGCTTCGGTTAGAAGTACGCTAAGCTATCTACGACCAATATGTGCCAAAATCCATCTCATGGCGAAATCGAGCGGGGTAGTACACTTCACACACTGGTGCACATTGGCAACTTGGCGGCCTGTAGCATAGTCAGTATATGTTAACTCTCAAGTTTGACACTTGGAACCCACAGTTCTGTCGATGGAGTGCCAAGAATTGATGTAATTGCAGCATCTTGGTCGTGATCACGCTTTCCTGCGAAGATCTCCTCCCACTTCGTCTGCGTGTCGGTATTTACGCAACCAGTCAGAGTGACCTTTACTTTCCCTTGCTTACATTTGTCGATTAGGGAAGGGTAAGCGAAAGTACAGATCCAGTCGACAACAGTCCGTTGACAACAGACGTGTAGGTATTTTCGATCATCCTCAGGAGCTAACATAATTCCCCAAGGACTGCCTTCGTACCCATCGTCGAGTCCTCGAAAACGAAGTCGTAGGTCCCTGAGGTTGCGGAGATCATTGAGAGAGGACCCGAGAGAATGGGAAGCTTCTACGAATATGTAGGGTTCGCGCCTCGAAACCCTTACACCCAAGAGGTCGAACCAGTCAGCGTTCGTGAAGGCCAGTTCTACTTTACTCAAATATTCGTAGTTCACTGCTGGTCCAGGTCGAGCATTAATAGCTTTGTGGAAGATTCCTGAGTCGAAGAAACAGCTGTGCATAAGTTCCCAGCCAGTATGCAGCACTTCTTCCCGCATCCACGAGCTAACAAGCAAAAGCTCCAAAGCCGGCTCATATACAAAGGGTCGGGCCTCTGGTACATGTTCCTTGTTCATCTGCATTCTTAATATGTTGTCGTGGAAGATCCACATATTGTAACCCATGCCGAGAGTAAGACGAGCAGTCTGGCAGGCCGTTGTGACTTCTCTGCTGCTTTCGGAATCTCGGATACTCAATGGATACAGCTCGCCTCCGAGAGCGTACTGATAGATCGGCGTTCGAATTTCGCCAGGAAGATCCACGAAACGACGCTTGCTGCCCGAGTATTTCCACCAGTTGAACTGAAGGCTATAGCCAGTTCTGCCGACCCAGCCTGGCGAAGTATTGGAAACCGTCTCAAGCCAGTCTCCAAAAACTACCCACTTCTCCTCGTCCGGTTCGAAGATGTGGACAGTCTCGGCAGTTGGTGGTGAGCCTTTGGGTAGAATAGTAACCCACTTTGAGTATACCTTGTCGCACCTCCGGAGTTTCCGGCCACGTCGCGTCTTCGATTTGAAGTAGTAACGTTTGATGTCGAAGAGGTTCAAGTGAGGTGGCCACAGCGGAGGCGCGTCGTCGACAGGTCGAATCTCATGCTTCACCGCAAATACAGAGAAATCTTTCTTCTTCTTGGCGTTGAGGATATAGTACATGGCAGCGAGTACAGGATCGTTGTAGTGCCAGCCTTTGTTGAAATTGATGATGGTTTCGCTTGTATAACGGCCGACCTGTCCATCCTGCGGACACTTCATCATCTCGATCGAATCGGTGATGTTGTCGTCACGCGCATCGGGAAGGATCAAGTTGTCCTTACGAGGACGCTCTGCAAGATCACCAGCCGGAGGGTCAAAAATAGCTAGACGACTCAGGAAGAAGCTTGGCGCTCTAGCATTGAGCTTCGAGGACTTGACAGGCACGAACGATGGCGCTGTGGCGCTAAGTTCCGGGCTCTCGAGGCCGTCATGTTGATCTCCCGGTGTTGATTGCTGGGCAGCTGGATCCGAAGGGGTTATGAAAGACGGAGAGCAATCGTGTTCGTATAGTTGAATACCCGGTAGTAAAGAAACAGGCTCCGACCCGCTCACGTATCGAAGAGGAGCATAGTTCCCATAGCCGGCGGATACTTGACCACAAGGAACCCAAGGATCGGAGGGTATAAACAGCGGTACTCGAGGAGGATTGAACTCAGCTACACTGTTGTCTTCATGGTTCTGGGAGCCGTGAGCGGACTCGAAGGACATGAAGGTGGAGTTTGAAGGAGCCATCTCGTGTGCTGGTTCGGAGTTGGTAGTTCTATACTGCGTTCGAAAGTGTTTTCAGGAAAGAAAAAGTCCGAGATTATATACTAGCAAGGCGTTCCTAGCGCCAGAGAAAGGCAACCGTTCCATGCATTGACCTACAGGAGGTGCTTCGGCGAACGGTGGGAGCCTACCTAAAGGCTCCGTTTCACTCTTCGTCGCCCTTAAGTACTCCGCCGTGGTCAGTGGTTTCGACCCGCGAGGCAACGCATCGAGCTTATATAAGCTCTGGACCTGTGCGTTTGATCTTTGCTGTTTGCGATTAGCAATTCTGGATTCTAGATCAAAAAAAAAGAAGTGCGACACCTGACGTAAGATTGCAGAGTGAATATACGCAATTGTTGTAGGTCTGACATGTACTTCGTACGGCTACAACAAACCTTAATGCCTTCCGTAAACGACTTTTCCCGCTTGGACACCGCTCCATTATGCGTGCGATGTGCTTTTCCTTCATTGGTGCTCTGTTTCCAGATCGAGGAAGTTTACAGAAAGGCTGAAGACTATGCCTAGAGGTGCTTACTGTCATTAGTCTGTCAAACTTACGGGAGGCGATTGTTTGGAGACCTTGCATTGCTTTAATCATGTCGTCTCTTCATATATACACCCTCTACCACCTGTCTATGCCTCTCATGCGACCACATCGTTAGCCTCTCTTTCTCTCTGTTGTTCTTCCTTCTTCCCTAGCCTGCCAGAGCTCTTGTGGATACCCTCTAGTACTTGTTTGATCTCTTGCAAGAAGCGATCTACCTCCTTCTCTGTACCGACAGTTATCCTCAAGCAGCCTAGACATCCATGCTCTTTTCCTCTGAACCTCACTACGACGCCTTTCTCTTCTGCCAGACCCTCGTATACTGCCAGGGCCGTCTCGTTTGATGGCTTGCCACCTTGATCCGCAGGCGCATCAAGTATCTGGTAGAGCAAAAAGTTCGACTCGACACCACCGTGAAGCTGTCCGATGCCGGGAATATTGGGCAGTTCCTCTATCAGCCTGTTGCGCTGCTTGACGATAAGGTCCTTGTTTCGTGTCATAACTTGCAGGTGTTTCGGGCTCAGAGCTGCGCGTGCGAGCTGACTCGTGGGGTTGGGGATGTTGTACGGCGCCTTCATGTTGTTCAGGATCTGTGCGATTGCCGGATCCGCGAATGCAGCGCCTAGTCGAATACCTGCAAGACCGAAGGCCTTCGACAGTGTCTGCATGACTACCAGGTTCGGCCACTCGGCGACCCACTCTGCCAGACTTGTTCCATCAGGTGAAAAGTCGATGTATGCTTCGTCCACCACGACCACACCATTCCATGGGTGTTCTAGTATCTTTTGTACGTCCTCTTTCTTGAGTAGCTTTCCAGTCGGGTTGCCCGGCGAACACAGATATGCTAGCTTGATGCTCTTGTCCTCATCCATCGCCTTTAGTATCGCGGGTACGTCGAGATCGAAACTTGGGGTTTGTAAGGGGATCTTGGCTAGGGCGACATCGTTGACCTGCGCAGAAACGCTATACATGCCGTATGTGGGCGGACATGTCAGGATCTTCTCCTTGCCGGGAACGCAGAAGGCGCGAATAAGAGCATCGATCGCTTCGTCTGAGCCGACACCAACGAAGAGGTTGGCGGGCGTGATCTTCTTCGGGGTGTGGCTGTGGGTATTTCGGAGGTTGCAGAGGAGTTGCTTAAGTTCTTCTTGGTGGCTGAATCAGCTTGTCAGCATACCACAGTGCAAGTTGTTGCGATTTGCGTACGGATCTGGGTATCGGTTCAGGCCAAGCAAATCGACATCAATCGCGGAAGATGAGTCTGAGGTGCCATTGACATTCGCGCCAGGCAGCTTTCCCTCGCCATTTAACGCTAGTCCCGGTCCATATGCGTTCTCATTCGCGTCGAGGAGGATGTTGGTGCCGTCATCTTTGTAGTCACTACGCGTCGTGAGCTTGGTACCTGGATAAGAGTCATTGATATTCACCTACTCGCGCGCGCATCGGTATGGCTCCAATGCGAGGATGTTGGATCGCGCGCATTTCTGCAGATCAAAGGCAGTATTCTTTGCGACCATTGTGGGTGTTGGTTGATTGTTATGGAGGATGGAGTGGGAGTACAGTAATGTCACGTCGAGGTTGGTGTTCGCGGGGAACTTTTTGTTTCGCGGGGCTGAACGCGGCGATGTCGGGAGTCATTCATCATCGTTCCTCGAGGTAGGCCAAATTTAGATATCATTCTGATTGGAGAATAGTTTGTAATGTAGTGAGTAAGAACAATTCCCTTCAAGTCATTTGATTCTGACCTTGTGTGCAAGTGCAAGGCTGACGTCCTTTGCTGGACGAGATGTAATTGAGATGCATTACAACCACCCACGCCAGGAGGTCCTGTCGCAACTCTGATAATTGGAACACGGACACTATATGGAAAGCCGACGATTTCCAATGTCGTTTCGGGGTTTCCGTATGCTTTGAGAGTGCACTGAGACTCTCTTGGGTCAGACCTTCGTCAGGGTGAAAGCAATAGCATGTTGATCGCCTTGGTCAAAATCTTTTCAATGCAATACGTAAGGGATACAGTACTCTGACCGTAAGACTTGATGGTTCTCGGTATGCATGGGCTTGACTTGAGATGATTAGCTCTGGACCAGCTTTGCGATGTCCGCTTTTCTGACTCGTTGGTCGTCATACATCCTTCCCTTTCGCACTGCTTCACTGATTGGAATCTATCGTCACAATATATGTGTACGTATGTCCAATCTTTCCATCAAAGTCCGATATGGTCTAGTGGCTAGGATTTGCCGCTCTCATAGCAGAGTCAGTTCACTGTACAGTGCCGGCAAGGCCCGGGTTCGATTCCCGGTGTCGGAATATGATCTTTTTGCCTTTTTTCTATCATCGAAGATGTTTGGATGCTTGCTGCGAAGTATTGGTTTGGCTAAAAAGGACCAAAACATCATTTTTTGCAAAGTCAACATCCAAAGTTACAACCTCACCCATGCAACTAGCTCACAATTAGTCGACACTAGGAACACCGCACACTTGAGTTCAGGCATTCATATCATCGACAAGCAGTGTGTTGGCTGCTCTGTGTTGGGTTGAAGGGATGGAGCACAATTCTAGCCAGATGACCACCTTGCAAACACATGAACACGAGTTCAGTCCGTAGCTAGACTATTCATTATTTCATTGATGTAAGGGTATAATTCAGACAAGTCAAACATGCTCTATATGCTTCATATCGCCTGTCCGGGGTGAAATTCATGACCAGGACTGTTCCTGCCTGACATGTCCGCGCTCACCCAAACTCTCGTCCTCTCTCCGTGCTGGCGGCCGTCATAGACAACAGCGCCTGTATTTCCGCTCTGATCGCCATACCAGGTTGTCAGGCTGCCGTCATGATTTGACTGATGGCCCGATTGCGCACCGAGGGCTTCGCTGCGCCTGTTGCCCTGCCACTCCATCTTAATGTCTTCCTTCACGACGATGCGACGTTCCACCAACTCCTCTTCGCTGTCCTCGTCTTCTCCTTGTATAGAACGTGCCCGTAAAGCGTCGTCGTTCCTTGACGGTCGCGAACCGAAGCCAGTAGCTGCCTTTTGGCCTGTCGATTTGCTAGCGCTGTTGGACGCCTGGTGCTTCGAGAGCATAGAGCGCGGAAGGAGGTAGGCAAGGGTTGGAGCACAAGCTGCGACCAGACTGATGACTATCTCGACCATGATCCATGCCAGTAGAGTCGTGTAGTTCCATAGCGGATCCTTCTCCAAGGTATACTGCGAAACAAGGGTCATTACTGACGCGATGCAGGCGATCAGGCCGATGGACAACAGGGCAAAGATGCGGGCCTTTCTCTTCCAGCTCAGCTGAACTTTCCACAACACAATTATCGGGATGGCGAGAGCAGTGAAGTCCAGAGCGAGGTTCAGGCGGAGGATGGTGTTCATGTGGTTGACGGACAAACACTTCGGTACCTTGCCCGACTCGGCGATCCGGAGCAGGTTGAAACTCGCGTACTGAGGGTTGCATTTGAAGACGTTCAGAAACAGTGCTGCGACGGTATAGGCCGCACATGTGGCGAAGAACGCCCAGTTGACATTCTTCCACAACCGCGTCGTAAGAGTTGTCAATCGGACATTGAACAAGGCAATGCTCATTTTGACAAGTCCTACATAGACGTAGAATACAGTGGCGGCTGACGGCGCGAGCTACACATCAAGATTAGTTATGCGTGACGGCGGGCCATCAGAGTTGTTCTTGCTCACATATTTGTAATGGAAGTATTCTTGATAGGTGATGTCGTAAAAGTGCTTTCCCGCTCCTCCATGCTGAACCATAGCAATTTGAAGTGCTGGGTATGCCATGGACAGGAGATATGCTGGAATGATGAGCCAGTCATCGGCACCAAAGCGGACCCCATGGACGAAGATTCGAATGCCCAGTCTCAAAAAGGTAACAACCGTGAGGATGACCATACACACTGAGAGTGCGGCTATGACGGCTGGACCTTTAGTCTCAAAGTGGTAGTTGTCTGTTGGACGGAAAGGTGGAATCGTGACTCCATCTTTAGGGTCTTTGATATCAGGAGTAAGGCCGGTAAGAAGTAATAATCCTGCAGCTATTTGCTCGTCGAATCCGTTGGCTGGCGGTGTGTTGAAATAAGCAGACATCATTGTGCTGTGGTTATGCTGGCTCGGCCTGGCGATACCGTACGGTGGGGCAGCACATGGGTTTGGGGCGATTCGGAGAGAGATCGACAGAACAAAACATCAATCGGAGGTATTGGACTTGACTGCCCTTAAGATCTTGCTCAGTCCATTGCCCTGTTTGAAGAATGCAGCTATATCCCACTCCGGGCTACCGGTATAGTGTGAGCAGGGTTGTGTTGTAAACGAGGAGCGGGATGGGCTGACGGGAACCCCAATAAGAAGGTAACTGGCATCATCCTTCCACTCACCCACCGCCCTGCATTGAGGCGCTCATTCCTACTGACAGAGCCTCCTGATCTCTGGTGTCAACCTTGTTGCGTGGGATTGTTGCTGTAAAAGCCCAAGTTTCTAGTCAAGTTGATGATAAGAAGATTGGGGCTTGCCACACAAGAGGGTGGAAGAGCCGCTGGCATGAGGAGTGCCAACTCTGCAGTTTGGGGTAAGGCTTTTGGCCGAGATAAGACCATGAAAGAGTGTCCCGTAGGCTCTGGTGGGTTAGATTCTTATTGGGACGCATTGTCTTATTAGCATGTCCGTTAGCATGTCCCACGAGATGCGAGCGTGAGTGGCGCGATATCTCGACACTTCGTATAGGATATGGAGTCGAAACGACGATGCTTTCCCGCTGTGTCAGCGGGAACCCTTCTCCTGTCTTGCGTGTGAGGCGTCCGAGGTGCGCGGGAATGGGCTCCACCAGAACTCTTTTGTTTGTGGGCTGGCACGCAGGTACGAAGGAGCGAGGAAGCCCTGGAGCTACTCCGGAGTATTTCGGTGAAAACGGGAGACGAAACGATGGTGGTGGCCTGTGCGCCGGGTCTTTCTATCGCGAAGGACCAGCCTCTTCGTAATCATGCGACCTGGAGCTTGAACACCCAATCGACATCAACGGGGGACAGGGTCTGTGATCGGTATCTCGATTTCGCAGATTGGGCATGCAGATCCGTGCGACACTGCAGAGGAGAACAGACGTTTGGGTCCGAGAGACGATCGGGTTCCTCCGTGGACCGGACGATGAGAAGGGCAGCATGGGACGGCACCACGAGGCCGCTTGTAGTAACTAATGTCCGCCACTCTCAGAAGCGCGTCCTTCAAGCTGCTAGAAGCGCGTGCAAGCTGCCGACATGGCTGCGCAACCCTATTCCAGAATCATATAGGTATAGAAGGTTATGCATAGGACGCGTCGATGGAAAAAATCTCGGCTTAAGCTTTTTCTCCCCTCCTTCTATCGGCGATTCTATCAGTAGCCAAACTTACTTGGTTACGCCATTCGTTTCAGACATCTCGTTTTCACTCGGCCATGTTTTCACGTACCGTTCTCTCGGGTCTGCTGTTGCAAGCATTGCCCTTTCTGACTTCAGCAACCGACTGCACTGGTGTCAATGGCATCAGCCCAAAATGTAGCAGCCAAGAATCTGCGTACAAGCGCGACGTCTTCTACGTCGGCGGTGGCTATGTCGACTCTGGCATCCCAGGCCAGCAAATGTGGAGCGACCAGCTCTATGTCGAGAAGCTGTCGCCTGCCAAAAAGGTCAAGAAGCCTTACCCGATGGTCTTCGTCTCTGCGGGTGTCAACACAGGCGCAGAGTGGCTGAACACGCCCGACAATCGCAAGGGTTGGGCTTCCTACTACCTTGACCAAGGCTACCAGGTCTATATTGTTGATATTGCTGCCAATGGCCGAAGTGGCCAGCAGCTTCTCTCCAAATACCCTCTGCGCATTGGTTCTACAGACATCATCAATGAGCAGGGCTTCACAGCTCCCGAAGATTTCGACCAGTACCCACAAGCAGACCTCCACACACAATGGCCCGGCAATGGATCTCGTGGAGATCCCGTTTTTGACGCCTTCACTGCCGGCAACACCCCCATCTCTTCATCTAATGTGAACGTGGAGAACACTATGCGCACATCTGGATGCCAGCTCCTCAGCATGATTGGCCAGTCATACACGGTCTGCCATTCTGCTGGTTGCACTTACACAGCCATCTGGTCAGACGCATGCCCTGATCTGCTACGCGCCAACATCAACATTGAGCCTGGCAACATCCCGTTCACTTCTTTGATCGGAAACAACACCGTTGCTGGGGTTGGTCGTACCGCCGCTCGGCCTTGTGGTCTCACATATACGCCGCTGCAATACGATCCACCAGTAACGAACTGCTCGGCCATTACCACCGCTGAGGTTGGGCCAGACGCCCCAGCCAAGCGTTCCTGCATTCTCCAAACCGGCACCATCCACAAGCTCACCCAGCTTAGTAAAGTTCCTTATATCATGATCACAGGCGAGGCCAGCCCGCATATCACGTACGATCACTGCTTCGTCGAGTACTTCAAGCAGATGGGCATCACCAACTACCAGTGGATCAAGCTTGCCGATATCGGTATCAAGGGCAACGCGCACTTCATGTTCCTGGAGAAGAACAACCAGGAGATCGCCGCGGCGATCAACTACGGTCTAAAAAAGTTGAACAAGAGCCCAGCTGCCCCAGGTCATCCAAGTCTTCCTATCTCTGCAAAATGAGAGACGTAGCTTGCGATGACTGCCAATAGCGAAGATAATCTCGAATATAGTCTGGGTGGCGTATTAAATCCAAAAGTCAAGTAGACCATAATATCTAAAGTAATCATGCATCACGAACCGATTCTACAAAATCCATGGACGTGGATAATTCATCAGTAACTAAAAAGGATCGTTTCGTAAACTCATCGCTCAAGCCAACGCACCCATTGGGTCCCACAGCTCTAGCATCCTCGGCTTCTGCTCCAGTACCTTCTTGACCGACGAACTGACAACGCTAGGATCAACGACCGCCTGGTACACGAACTCATCCATCCAAGCATCACTCATGACAAAGTAGCCCTTGTCACCCGCACGCTCGCTCCACGAATTCTCTACTCTCCAGCGCACAGGCTTGCCATCAACGACATGCACAGCCGTCAGGACCATAGCATGTGTCATCTGGCTCTCACCAGTTTGCAGGCGCTCCGCCTTGGACATGCCAAGCTTAATGTTAAAGCCAAGCTCATACTCGAAGAGATCCGTGTCCATGATGCCCTTGGCAGAATCGGAATACTTGCCCACGTCTGAGCCGAAGAACACAGGCATGCCACGCTTCAGCATAGTGATGCAGGCATCTTTGATTGTCTTCATGTCGACATTTACGTAGGTCACTGGTCGGCCGTTCCAGACGTTGCCCAGTCGCTTCACACTAAGCAGACGGTTGTAGGGGTTACGAGGATCGTTCACAAGCGAGAAGAGTGAATGGACGTCAGTTCCAGACAGTGCTCGTACGGTCTTGTTGTCGGAGAGTTCGTTTGCAAAAGCAGTAGGTCGCGTGCGGACAGTGCAGAATTTGCCGTCCTTGTCGTAGTACTCCCAAGTGAAGGGCTTGGTGGAGCATGGTGGTGGGCCAAGCATCAGTGTCAGAATCAAGTGGATCTCACGAAGCATCTTATCCTTCTCTCCGGCGATGGTCGCCTTGATGGCATCTGGTGTAGCGTTGCTGCGGGCAATAGAACGTAGACGAACTGCATCTTCGCGTAGCTTGGTGGTAATCAGACGGTCCATAGTCGATGAGCTGGTTGCGTTGTAGGAATCTGGATACAGCGAATGTGGCACAAGACCATACTTTTGTACGAGGTTGGCCACCATATCCCATTGTCCACCATCACCGACGGGGCTAGCCATCAGTGCCTGTATGATGCGACTATCAATCTCCTCATCCTTTGTATCCAGAATGCTTTCGAGGAAGTAATTCGCCTTCTCGATCTTGTCCCAGTAGAAGAGGTACGACTGGGAGAGCTGGAACTCGGACAGCTTGTACTTCTTCATGATGGCGACACGGAAGACGTTGGTGGACGCGAAGAGCCAGCATCTTCCGGACGAGGCTTGGTTTGTGACGGGCGAACCCTCAAGAGGGATCTTGATGTTGAACTTCTGGGTGTCTGCTATGACAGCTGATCGAGACGAAAGCACGGCGTTGGCAGAGTTGGAGCTGAGGGCTGCGAGGGCAAGACGGTTCTACCGGAAGTCAGTAATGAACATCACAAGGACTAGATGTAGTACCTTTGGGTCTTCCATGAGCTCCTTCTCCCATTCAGACACTGATGCGGCGGAGACATCCTGTTGGTACTTGACGCCAGGAGTGTATTTGGGTGCTTCAATAAGTCAGACTTGTTCTAAGAGTATGAACAGGAGACAGCATACGAGATTCGCCACCAACAACTACAAATCCATCCTTCTCATTCATGGGTCGTTCATCTTTCATGTGGAGGGCCTGGAGTCGCTCCATCAGCTTCTCGTTAACAGCAGCATCGGACGGTCGTGACTGGTTAGCCCCCATGATGAAGACGGAGAAAACGCTTCTAGAACTATCGTGAAGCTCTTGATCTAACTAAGCTCGAGAGCAAGCTGGTGTTGTAGTCCGGGGAAGCTCCAGTTGTCCATCAAGGTGTCACTCGTTATCGCGCTTATCGGGCGGGAGCAACGCGTGCATGGGTCGCGTGGCAGCCCCACTCCGATCAGATGGCTGGACTCGTTGGAGCGGAAAGTGCCCGCCTTCCATACCTTCCACATCTGACCCATCTGCATCGAAGCATGATGCTTACATGCGAGGCAAGGCCGACTTGTGCAGTGCTCGGTGCTGCGTTTGTGTGCTACACCCATAGCCTGGGTGCCTCAGCCACCTTGAACATCGCCTCAGGACCCCACCCATCTCCACAGACCCTGAAACTCGTGACAGCCGTTTTGCTCTCTATCAGGACAACGATACTGGCAACGCACCATTATAGACACTCACAACCCAAAGCCCCTTTCCCCCTATGCGACTATCACGCATAGATGACGATGCAGCCGCCTCATCGGCCCCCAACAGGCGCGGAAACTAAAACAGGCAAATGAAGATGTACAGGGCCGAACGCGTGTTTCATCCAGGCGCGCAAGGCGTCCCCTGAGTTTGCGCCTCACAGCCGCCGCAGCTTGAATTTGCGCCGAAGATACCAAAACTTCTTGCGCTCAGCCTTGATCACGAAGATATATATCCGCTTCTCTATCTTCTCGCCGTCCACATCTTCCCTTGCACCCAACGGTCGAGCAACACAGTCTGCATCACCACATCACCATGGCGCAACGACCGGTATTTTGGCAGAAGCGCGTTCTCGTGCCCTTCTGGATAGTGCGAATATGTATCATGATCTTGATCATTGCAGCATATGGTTATTCCCTGCGGACTGTGGATGAACTAAAGGATGTCATCCAACCATCAACTGGGTAGGTTGCACCAATATGAGCGCATGCGCAGAGACTAACAGCCAACAGATCAGTCGTTGTCTTCATGCTCTTCATCGTCATTGTGCTCCTCATCGACATTCTTGCGATCATCATGTTCCTTGGCGACAAGCTGAAGCCAGGCACTTTCCTGACCATGAACTGCTTCCAAACTGGATTCTGGACTGGCGTCTTGATCATGGACTTTGTCGCCATAGGCCAGGGCGCCAGCACTGTAGGAATTGGATTCAGCATCTTCGTATTGTACGTTCAGAGTCTGGCGAGATTGTGTGCAGTACTGACATATCCCAGCCTCACCTTCCTCGGTCTCCTCATCTACGCCATCGTCGGTTACCGTCGCGCGAAGAAAGAAGCCCAACGGGGCCAGTATGCGCCAGCGCATAACCCATTGGCGGCGGCGGCTGCTGCACAATCATCCCCGTACAACAGCGTCCCCGAGTACCAACAGAATACCGCATACCATTCGCAGACACAGCCTGATATGCACAACCAGTACCTTCCACCATACCAAAGTGGTGCTGCGACGGACTACTACCAGCAGCCTGTGAAGCCCGCCCACATTGTATGAGCGAAGGAGACGGAGATGACGAGGTTTGCAAAAGGCGTTTTGGTGAAATAGGAAAGGTCAATACCACGGTCAAACGGTGTTCCGGTCTGTACTTTCACATGTTGCATGCTTCCATGACCAGAAATCGGTCTAGAGAACTTGATCGTCACGAACGATGGTAGTGATAATATCAGTGAGGGACGGGCCGTTAGATTATTGCGCACTTGCGCCGGACCTGTCCCATTCGGCAGGTGTAGGAATGACACCCTGAAAACTATCGATTCATGTACCAAAGACTTCCTCAGGCACCGAAAATCCGTGAATGATACCACAAGCTACTCGCACGTGCGAACGGAAATCGGAGGCTCCTGCCTGTTCGAGAGGCTCCTGCCGAGGCACTAGGCTGGTCAGGAGGCGGCACCTCCGCAAGGCTTGGAAGTGTCTCCGTTTCGGAGGTCAGCAACCACTCACAGCTGCAAAGCCGACATTCACATCATGTCACCGCCATGGTCATTTATGCGAGGAGCAATCACATTGCTGTTACCCGCACGTTGCGAGTAGAAAGTGGCGTGTGCCATGGCTGTGTTCCTGACTTCTGCAGTGTCTGTTCGCCTCCGGCGTACATTATGCGTGGAACGTTAGTGGTAGATCAGAGACTGGGGACGCAGCGGCTGGCTCAAGGGTGGATCGGAAGGATGGTATTGTTATAAACATCAAGCGCCGTCTGTTTGTTTTGCACAGGTCTCGGGTCTCTCATTCGAACACATTCGCTTCATCTTCATTCTTTCAGTCAAGATGCGATCATTCTTGCTACTCGCTGCGGCGGTTCCTTTCGCTCAAGCTGTTCGCATCGTACAGTCAAACGACGATGGATGGTCAGAGGCAAACATCCGTACCTTCTTTGACGTCTTGAACTCTGCTGGCCACGAGGTTGTCCTGTCTGGTCCTGCTGAGAATCAGTCTGGCAGAGGTTGGTAGCCGAGTCATGAACACTATACACATACTGACCTATATCAGGATCATCCGACGAACCCCCGAAGACTGTTGATTCAGACGGCTGCATTCATGCATCCTGCCCAGGTGGAAGCCCGCCCACAGGTGCAAATGCAACAGACCCTCGTTTGAACTACGTGAACTCGTTCCCAGTCACTTCTATCAAGCAAGGTATCGATGTCACCGCGCCTAAACTCTGGAACGGCGCAAAGCCCGAACTCGCTCTGACCGGTCCGAATGTCGGAAGCAATGTTGCTGTTCAGGTGCCCTTCTCCGGTACCGTCGGCGCCGCTACATATGCGGCAAAGACGGCTCAAATCCCAGCTATCGCCTTCTCTGGCCAGTCTGGAAATCCTACCGCATGGAATGCTCCTACACCTTTCCACAGCAAGATCTACGCTGATTTGGCTCTGAACGTCACTACCACCATCATCAACAGCGGAAAGCCATACCTCCCAGCGAACACCTACTTGAATGTCAACTTCCCCTCTGTCTCCGAGACCAAGTGCAGCGATCCCAGTCAGTTCAAGTACATCTTTACTCGCATCAACACTGGTCTTTTGAGTGCTCGCGACGCGAACTGGTGCGGTAGCACGCGCCTTCCGTGGGAGGCGGACGTTATCTTGATTCGAGGAAGCGACTGCTACGTTACTATCAGCCCTGGTGATGCCAACGACAAGACGACCATAAACGATGCTGCGGTCCAGACTCAGATCATCAACAAGCTCAAGCCGATCTTGTCGTGCTTGCCTTAGAAGAGGGATGATGGGGATGGCAAAAGTTAGCTCGGCTGTGCATGGAGCTTTAATGACACGCGATAGTACGACGAATGATATCTTAATACTTATCCTCACCCATCATTAACAACGACAGTCATTGTAACAATGACTCCCCATAATGTGACTGCAATGAAAACACGTTAGTTGGATGACTCATTGGCCACCTTGTAGTGAAGGAAGCTATCATTTAACATGCAACAACCAACAGTTCCGACACCAACACACATCTGATCAACCATGTCAAATTCTCCCAAAGATACCGAGATGTCGTCAGACTCTACCAAACCCCAATCTCTAGCTTCGCGCATGAAGTCATATGAATCGCGCTTCGACCATACCCTCCCTCTCGACCAACCCATCATCCTCCGTCTAGACGGACATGGCTTCTCGCGCTTCACATCGCACTTTGCGCGTCCCTTCGACGAACGCATACACACTGCGATGATATCAACCTGTGCCGATTTACTTCACTTCTTTCCCCGCGCTACAGTCGCATACACGCAGTCCGACGAGATCACCCTGGTCTTTCCGGAAGGTGTGCAGACTTTCAACGAAAGGGTGCAGAAGCTGTCTAGTCTGAGCGCGAGTTATTGCTCTGTGCGATTCAACAAACATCTCGCGGAGGCGCTGGGGAAAATGCCGGAGCCGGCAGTCAAGGGCACCGTGGAGAAGGTACTAGGCACAGCGCATTTTGATGCGCGTTTCTTCCCGGTTCCTTCTGTAGGAGAGGCTCTCAACAACCTCATATGGAGGTGTCGCAATGATGCCGTACGGAATGCTGTTTCTGGTTTTGCTCGGACTATGTACTCAACCAAGGAGATGAACGGCAAGAAGACGCGGGAGCTCATTGATATGATGCTGGAGGAGAAGGGCGTTAGGTTTGAGGAGGCGGTGCCGAAATGGGCGATTGAGGGCTGTTTGCTGAAGAGAGAGCAATATGAGCACGAGGGGGTAAACCCAAAGACTGGAGAGAACGAGAAGACTTTTCGGACAAGGACGCGAGTAGAGGAGAGGGGTGTGAGAGTGTTCGGAGATGAGGGACTAAAGCTAGTCACAGATAAATATTGGTAGAGTGGTTCTTAAGATATATTGGCTCTGCAACGAAGTAACGAGTTTGCGTCATGTTATGTAGAATTCACTCATGGCAAGCGCCCTTCCAACAACATACCTTTGTAAACTGAAAAAGAATGCACAGCCCCTCACTACCCCAGTAGGGACTTGTTGTAGCAAGGTGCAAAATTCAGCAAAAAAAGAAGATGGGGCCTGACCGGGATTCGACTGTACACTTATTAGTAAAGCGTTCGATGTCGAACCTTGATGGATGAACTTACACCCGGGGCCTCCTGCAGAATAGGCAATGTGACGATGTCAACCCAAAGCAGGAATCATACCACTAGACCATCAGGCCGATTTTGCTCTAGAGAGCTGATTGATGAAAGGAGGCCATAATTCATGATTCATATAGTGCGGGATCAATTTTTGACGGCTGCTCTGCATGCGGGGCGCAGGATCGTGTATGTGGAGCGAGGCGCAGTAGTGGCTACACTTAGCGAAACACGCCGCAGAGTCATCCACTTCGCGTCCTTCCAATCGCTACTGCTGTGAGCCTGGCCTTTGGCGCTAAAGGTCAGAAAGCGTTACTCTGCACGATGAGTTTGATTGCTTCCCATAATGGACTCCCTTCCATCAAAACTCGGGCTTGTATATCCTCAAGTCGATGGCCGCAATACCCGAATCGCAATTTGGAGGTGGGTCATATGGAGAGGTGTGCTTCTACTTTCGGTGTAGGCGCTATCCATAGCCTCGATGCCTCCCTTGTGGTTTTGCGTGTCTTCGACGGCTTTTGAGCAACACAAATCGACGACAGCCATATCGACATCTGCGTAAATTTTTCAGAGATCTGTACATGCGAACGAGGAAGGACTGCATGGAGTGGTTGTGGCGACGATTCAAGCGCGAACCCCGACATACTACGTGAAGCATTGCAAGGTTGTGTTTTAGAAGAAACAGAGGCGCAAACATGAATGCACTAATGTAAAATTTTTGGTTTTTGGATGGTAGAAGAAGAGTACCAGGTGCAAGAATACCAAGGAGTACCTAATAAAGGATGCTTTGTATCCTCCTCACCGATCACCTCAATTTCTCATGATCGTAGCCGAAGTGCATGCGACCATTCGGAGTCCTCCACCATGACTTGGAAGTTTGAAGCGACGACCAGCTTTGGGTGGACATGGAAACCACATTAATAACTTTTGAGATATAGCTCATGGTGTTTTTCAAAAACACGCGCGCATACTTATTCATGACTTCCTCGTCTCTGGTCCTAGCACTTGGTTTCCGAAGTAGAGCTTTGTATTCACATCTCTTCGTGTGAACCCTCATGTCAACTGCTTGTTGAAGTTTAATTTCACGAGCATGAACCGAAACGGTAGGTTTTCCTGGAAGGTCCAGCGGCCCACATTAGGGTTTCGGCATGTTCTTTTGATGGAATAGCCTAGTAGATGATAGATGTGTAAGGAAGGCAAGTTATCATCAGAAGAATAACCAAGTCTTATATACCCGTCGCTCAAGCTGCCAAGACGACGCTTTCAAAGAGATGTATCCGAGACACATGTGCAGCCAATATTGATCAGCTCTTTAGAGCAAAATCGGCCTAATGGTCTAGTGTTATTATTCCTGCTTTGGGTTGACATCGTCACATTGCCTATTCTGCAGGAAGCCCCGGGTGTAAGTTCATCCATCAAGGTTCGACATTGGGGTTTCACAGGTGCTCGTCGCCTACAGAAGTTTTCTTGAGAAGGAAGATCGGATAACATGACAATACATCAGACTCCTTTTGGATCACAAACTATTTGCTTAATTGCTTCTACCAGCTTCGTGATCTACACCGCAACATCCTCGTACATCCATGTCTCGTCAATCTTCCCACCTTGCGCAGTCTGCGCTCCCGCATACAAGCACCGCTTAATCTGTCCATCCTCAAATACAGGCACAACGTCCTTCTCCACAACCATCATCGCCCACATAATGATCCTTGCACCTAGGTTCTCCGTACGTCCATTGATGAAAACAGGCGCTGGATCATCAGCGGGTTGGTTGACAAATGTCATACCCAAGTCGTCCAGCGCATCCGTTGGCGCGACATTCGCTTCGGCGGAGGGAAGCTGCACAAAATCGCCGAGATTCTCATCGATGAAGGTGTACGTGTCTACGTCTTCAATACCATCTTCTAATGTGGGAAGTGCATGTTTTGAACACAAGTTGCGCACTAGAGCCAATGTCTTCATGTCGGATGTGTCTTGTGTGGTCAACATCAACGACACCAGGACAGTCAGGAGCATCGTCCACTGCAAACCTTCACTCTGTGAACCCTGAATACCATGTCGATGGAGCGCGCTCGAAAAAGTCTCGGCTGATGCAGGCAGATCGGCTCCGAAGGTTTTGAGCATGTCGGACAAGCTGTGCAAAGTGCGAACGGGACGTTCGGAATCCGAGACGCGAAGCTTGGCAATCGCAGCCTTCAGCTCTTCCCGAACCGAGTGGATGATCCTAGCCTGGCTGTTGCGATAGATTTTCGCGTACCTTTGCTTATCGTTTTGCGGTTCCTGTTGGATTTGAAGTGGGAGAGTGCTGCATCTCTGCTCCAGTGCCTGGTGTAAGAGCACGAGAACTTGCAGGGTGATCCTGCCTCCTGGCCGTGCAACGTCAATAGTGCTTACATCCAACTCGGATGTTATGATCGTCTGTATGAAGAAGAAGTGAACGATGTAGGGGGGTATGCCACGGAAGAAAGGTACGTGGTTTTCGTAACGACCGAATGGATGGCCCTTGGCGCGTAGGAAGTGCTGTTCCTTATTTGGGTCTGTAGCTAGAAAGTCTTTTGACATGCCAAAAGGCACGTTTTCAGGATTCAACAGACCCAGCTGTTGTGCATATTGCTGTAGCTGTGGTTGGAACGCTAGTTTCAACGCAAACTGCTCAATGGGATTGTCTTCTAAGCAGAAGCCATACCCAAGAAGCAACTCATCATTCTGCTTCGGTGCGTAGTTGTTGAATAGCTCTTGACCAGCCTGGAAGGACTCGCCTTCAAGACACTTCAGTGTAAATGACTGGTGAGGCTGGAAGTCCCATTCTACCTTTGCAGAGACGGAATGATTGAGAATGTCTACCACCGGAAAGAGGATGGGAATCGTCTCACGTCCGGGTAGGATGTGTGTCGAAATGAACGCTCGCGAAGTAAAGATAGTGGCTGCCCAAAGTAATGATTCGCTGGGGATCGTTAGCAGGCTGCACCAGGTAGCCAATGTATGGATGTTGCAAATCTAGAGTGTTGGCAGCCAAAAGCAACACTGATAACTAGGTGTATGGGTTCAGATAAACGGTAGAGCTGATGCTCAATGTACATGCACGCTAGACAGCACATGACGTATAGTGAATACCATTCGCTGGAAACTTACAGATCGATCTCGTCAGCAAGAGGCATACCAAGTGCTTTCATAACAGCCACGGCATTGTCCCATTGGCGCTCCAGCTCAGCCTTTCTCTCTTTGGTCGCAGGAGCTAGACTTGTACCGGCGAGAAAGACCACATCGCTCTCATCAAACCAGAGAGGTGTGGTCATAGTTTCAGGCCCTGGTAAGCAGGAGATGTACGCATGCCAAGGCGACTTCTCACCCTTCTTGCGCTGTTCAATCAACAACAGATACGTCAGAACGTGATCCGGAATCTTCCCTCGACATTGTTCTAGAGGGCTTTCAGCGTACAAGACCTCTTTCTCGTTTGGGTCTAGGTTGAGAGAAGAGAGTGTAAGCTTCAATGGACATGAAGCCACGACGGTGGAGCTCAGTGGCCTAGCAGCGCGCATGTGAAAGCCACGCGAGTCGCTGAAGACGATCTGTACATCTGGACTGAGCTGACCCCCATTTTGTGTGAACCAGGTAACGAGGCTCTCGGCTGACGGGTGAGAGCCGAAATCCTGGCCTGACATTTGGTCCATTAGAATTGCAATTGATTTGAAAGGTTGCAAATTCTAATCCGCTGACGTAGCAGCCTTGATTGTCGGGCGTTCTCTGGCGAATTTTTGGACAAAAATACTCTTTACGTACGCAATGCCTTCCGATTTGGATTTGTTTGTATCTCGGAAGTTCGGTTCGTCCGACTGCGCGAAGACGATGTGTGCAATCCAGCTGACGCGAGCTCGGTCTCGGTGAAAAATTGGCGGCGCGGCATGCGGAGCACAACGGAACCGACGGTCTGAAGCGAGCAGGCTTGCAGAAAGATCGTGAAGTGTAGCGGGTCGTGCAGCCAGAGGTGCAGCACGGCGTAGTGGTGTGTGGACTTGTCGGTGAGGTAACGGCTAATCCAAAACCCCTCGCAAAAAGTCATGGTAGAGTTTGCGTAAGCGTTGATTGTAACAGGCTGGCCCTGTATAGCAGAGTCGGAGTACCGAACAGGACGCCTGGCCATGACAGCATCCAAGCTTCACAAGCTTCATATCATCTGCGGCCGGCTCCTACAAGAATGCTTCGACATGGAAACCGATGTTGATGTTTGCTGTGGCTTGAGTGGCAGTGGTGCTCGGCGCAAATATCGCAAGGCTGACCAATCACAGCGCCCCTCGGTCTGCATCGTATACGAATACGCCGTGCATTGACTGCCCAGAGCTTCCTCAGAAGGTTCCATGGTCACAGTGCCGCATGATCAATCTTAAGATGATGAGGTATTCGGATCCCTGCGGAAACGTGTCGTTGTTGCTCTCACCCAGATCGACAGCACGAACCAAAGTGAGACCTAGACAATCAGCGGTATACCTGCTAACTATGACTACGAGTAAGCAGCCCCCCAGCTTTGTCCGACAAAGCCGAGTAATCTGTTTCCGATGAAGCAAAAAGAGGGGCCAGTAGCGAGGATGCATGATGTGCACGATGGGCCAATGGTTCTGGCCCCTTGCCGGATGCGGCTTTGCTGGCGTGCCTGCGCCAACGGGACGGACGACGGTTGACATTACCGGCGTTTGGAGCCTGTGTGCCTTGTGCGTCGACGATGCGGATGTAAAGTAGAGCCATGCCCGGCTGATGAATGACCTGACGAGGGGCCCGTCTAATGGCTTCTTTTTTGTTCCCATTTTCGCTCTTTGAAAACTGTCTACGCCCGCTTGCTGAAACATACAGCTATCCATGGTCAGGCTATAGGGAGTGATTGGCTAACTTATTCCCTGCATAAACTCAGCTCCTCTAGTTGTGGCTTGTAAGTCAGCCCCAGTTGTGGTAGTGGAATTGCGCTTGAGGGGCACGACCTCCAAACTTCAGCGCACAGCCCTTGGGTCCCGCCCTCATAAGATGATGGCGTCCCATGCGGGGGCGCGGTTTGCGCCTCCATTTTCATTGTATTTCGATTCTGTGCTGACGGGTATTTCAGCATGTCACACCTGGATTGAGTGCTGGAGCGATGCTGCGGGACATGTTGACCGCCGATGCCGCCAAACACGGCCATGAGAGCGCACCACCGCGTGCAGCCTCGCCCACGAGCAACGGCTCCTTTCTCCAGATGCCACTTTCCATTTTAGGCTCAGTCTTGCGCGGACAAACTCCTTCACCGTCGCAGGCGACCTTAACTTCTACACACACCGACCCTGCAATCGATACCCCTGACACGCCAACACCGACCTCGCATAGAGATGCGATGAAGATACAGCATGACGAGCCTATAATCACCTTCGTTCCTTCACCTTCACGGCCGGTTTCCTCCGGCAGCGACGGCACTGCAGAGAAGCCGAAGAAGCGGACCCCTCGTTCGAAAACATCCTACAACATCGCCCGACCCGTAAACACTCGCTCAAAGCTACATGCACGCCCCAAGGTTCTCCTACAGTTACATCAAGTCATCGCTTCGCAACGTCCAAAGCCTGCATACGAAGTCGTTCCTTTCTCAGTCCTCCCCCAGCGAATCTCGAGGCGTCTTTCACGGAGCTTTAACACCAGGGAAAAATTAGGGCCACATGATCTCTTCATTGTTCAGGCAGAGGAGTACAACAGTCGTGATGACGAGAGCAAGTCGGAAGAGGAGCGATGGGGCTCGCGCGACGTAATCGGCGTCATCAGCGCACGGAAGTGTGACAAGGGCGTCACCGAGACCACGGAGATTTGTATGAATGACGGGACGAGTCGCTGGGCGGTAACCGATATGCCCAACGGAGGCTACGAGTTCAATAGCACTGACGAGCATGGCTTGACGCTGAAGGCGCGTTGGGTGTTGAAACCAGCCCATTCACGCCGTACGTCAAGCATGACTGCGAACACACCCCTTTCGCCATCATTCCCAGAGGCCGACGACAGGAAGTTTACGTTCAGTACTTTGAGTGTTAATTCCAGGCGCCATCCTATCATTGCGACAATGACCCGCAACCGCATAGATGTCATGGATACTTACGCTTTGCCATCTGATGCCTCGCCGTCAACGCCTAGCATGGCCTCTTACACCCAGTCGCCTACCACGGACGTTTCCAGCATCGATGCCAGCAACTTTATGGAAACTTTGACAGAGAAGCTGCCTACCGAGACCGGCGACGCGCTTCGACAATTTATACTGGCTTCTGGTGTCTGGGTTGCTGCCAAAGAATTCACAACAGAGGGCCCCAACTTGTTCTCGCCCCCAACCCTAGCTCCCTGTGCCACTTTCCGGCCAAACCCCAATCGCACATTCTCAATGTCGATCCTTGATTGTCCTCGCTCGCCGTCCCCAGCTTCAACACTCGACGAGAAGCGCCGCTCAATCCCTCGAATGTTCAAGCCTAGTTTGGAAAGACTACCTCGTCGCACGACAAGCTTCACTGATGCTCCTGCTTCGCCTGCTTCTACCAAGACGGCAGTAAATGCTTCTCCCGTAACCGTTGTGAAGACACGAGCGCGACGTGCCAACTCGACTGGCACTGCTATGCATAGTATTTCAGGCAGCATGAGGAAGAGATACGGACTTACCTTCGAAGACCAAACACTCGTAGAAACCGCAGAAGAGCGCACTATGAAGCGCAGCGTGGAGCTACTTCGCATTAAGGAACTACAACTGCCCTCGCCTATAGAGCGACCTTCTGCTGAATCCACCCGGCCACTCCCTCCTGCTATACCATCCCCAATCGTCATCCCCGCGTCACCCGAAGGCCCGACTTCGCCCACACCGCTACTCGCCTCTCCTCTCCTCTCACCGGCCATGCCACAAACCGAACGTTCCAGAAAGACACAGTCTGCATACGCGCCCATCACCACGACCGGCATGTGGGACTCTGGAGTCACGGAAGGCCCCGGTCTCAAGAAGCGCCCCACAAGCATGTTTGTCATGAACGAGAAGAAGCGCAAGCAAGAGAAGAAGTTTGAGCGCAGTAAAAGCATGAAAGAGAAGAGCAAAGCTAGCGAAGAGAGTAACGAAGGTCTCGGTCCTAAGAGCAAGAGGAAGGGTGATTGGTACATGTACAAGATCAAACTTCGCCTCAAGGACATCTTTAAGAAGGACAAGGCTTGATGTGGATGTACTTCACAACACTGTTTTCTGTTGTTTTCTCCTAGCAGTACTAGGTCGGTATAGCATCGCTGGGCGTTTTGTTTTTGGTTACACTCAAGGCTGGACCTTTTGCGGTCTCACGTCACCACTCCTTGGATCCATTTCTTTCACTTCTTGTACATACTACATATTTCCTACGCTAGACTCTGGTTTCCTCTTCATCTGAATTTGTCCTGTCTATACCCATTTCTATCCGTCCGCACCCTACTTGTTTTGGGTAGCTCAATCAAGGTTCCGTTTTCTTCTGCTGATTTGAATTGCTCCGTGTTGATGCTCCGTGTTGATGCTCCGATCGGCCGTAACTCATGGATGATCCGTGTCGCACCCCCCCTTGCTAGTCTCGGGATCTTGCAGCAGTAGCTTGTGAGAAAAATGAACAATATGGATCGTGGCTTCGGCGTGATAGAGTCAGCATGTGATGGTGTAGACACCATTACTATTCTCAATATGGCGTGTTCACCGCTGAAGGCCGTCGGCCGAGATGGCGCAACAAGCTAAAGTTGGTCGGCGAAGATGAGAATCACTACGAGTAAGTATAATGCGCCACAGTTTTTTGTGAATGGAGCTGGACTTGCGAGTGGGGTAATCTCCATTGTTGCGTGGCCCTTGTGTCGTTGCGAAAGCCATGGGCAGATGTGCTTGTTGGAAATGTTGCCCTATACGACAAAACTTTGAAGCAAGGAAAATTCAGAAATCTTCCATGTAGTAAGCAACATGGATATTAGGTCTAGGATTGTTTTGTGTCTACACGAGCTGCACATCTGACATCCAAATTGCAGCAAAGATCTGGATCATGATAGGCATGAGTCGATCTACAGCATAGTTCCCAAAGCCTCCTATGAGACTAGTCATTACTCTGCCCATTTACCTTCCTCCACTCCAGGACTATCGACAAACTCCCAATCCTCGTCACCATTAACCTTCTCCCGCCCCTCTTCATCAGAGTCCAGACCCAGCTGCTCGAGCCCTCCCTGAGGTACCTTGGCCTCGTCGACAGCCAGCCATTTCTCACACTTCGCATGGGAAGCTTCTCGTCTGGAAGCCATGCGCTCTGAGTAGCTCTTCTCTGGCGCAGGTGCCATACTGGCAAGTGCGGATGGAAATCTGCGGTAGAAAGATGGGTGTATCTCCTGAGTTTCCTGGTTGATGGGTGCAAGTACCCTTGCAGACGGGTTACTAGTAGTGTTTGGAGGAATGTAAGCCCATTGCCACGGTGATGCAAGGCGGGGTGTAGGTAGTTTTGACATAGGTGATCCTGGCATGTATGATCTTGGAGAAGACGATTTGACTGCACAGTGTACAGGCTCTTTGTGTCGTACTTGTCGGCGCACAGACGTCTCAAGGGGCATCTGTGAAGCACCTTCAAGACACCTTGTAGATAGCCAGATTCCAGGAACTTGGGTGTGACGATAATCCATCTTGATTTTGGTGTCGACTAGGAGATTGTGGGAATCGTAGTCTTGACGTGCGCGTGGGCTGGTAAAGACAATATAGTCTACCTTGTCGGCGAAGATTGTGAAGATGAAAGTTGGTGAAGATGGAAATTGCTGAAGATGGAAGTCGCTGAAGAAAGTTGCTGGAGGAAGTTGCTGAAGGAAGTAACTTTGGAAAAATACGAAAGTGTCTTAAGTCCAGCGAAAAGAATGTTCGATCCAAGAAGCCTATCAAGCGACGCATATTAAGACTATGCAACGTGGTAACGATATACAAAATCGAGGTTCTTTACCTTGGTTCAGGGGGTAAGCGACCATTTGTACCCATTGTATTGCTTGACCATGATCTTGTGGGAACCTTATTGGATCTCAGACACGTACATATTACTGCAACACCCAGAACTTACAGCAAAGCCATTCTTACACGCAACGGAGATTGGCTGCTTAAGTAAAATCATCACATTGCTCTTTTCCGCCATGGATACAGAGATAATTCTCGACAATATGCAACCATGGTCTCCGGGATGGAGCCTACATGTACTCGAGCGCGAAGACGCGACGGAGCGTAATTGTAAGGAAGAAGACGACGACTTGAAGGTAACTAATCGATAGGCTGAAGCGACGCAGCAGCGACAAAGACAGCCAGGTGGTCAGTGTTCAACGGCTACAGGCGATCGTCTGGCGGGCCTTTGCCGTGTGCTATACTTAGCCACCACCATCACTTGTGGAGCAGAGAAGATGCAAACCATGGGTATTCTCAAGAGCAATCACGCAGAGGACATTGAGCGAGAAGGAAATTCAGTGCTTCAGCCAGAGGTATGATGCAAGTGTCGTCCCAAAAGGGAGAGGTCGGTCTTGGCGGCGCTATGGCCAGCGCGATGGGCGGCCCACTCGATTGTTTGGATTCGTCCCGCGTCACAACATTGAAGGTCCAACACCCCAACGCCCCGGACGACAACCCCCCCAGGATAGCCCTTTTTGCCTTTGGCGCTGCTATTCACGACTGATCCATTTCAAGACGACATGCGTAGCTAACCTAGACGACACTCGACCTTACCCGGAACGCGACTGCTAGCACCGCGACGCGCCTACTACTACACGCCCTCACCGTACCTCACCGCACACATTCGACATGGCTGCCCGCAGCAAGGCACCCACCGTTGGGTCCGCTGGCTGGATCCTCGAAGAGCGCCACCAGTCCAACACGCTTGTATCCCAGGAATTGGAGGATTTTGGCTTCTCTGTGCGCAATGAGCTGGAATGGCTCAATGAACACATGTTCGACATTTTGTCCAGCGACAGACAGTATGTCGCGTCTACCTCGCGCCGACGCGCATCAGACTGACTTTCCGGCAGACACAACCTCGATGTCTTCAAGACACCCGGCAAGTTACGCGGCAAGACGCCCCGTACCGCGCGAAAGAAGGCTGTCGATCGCCAGGTAAGAGTTTTGCATGCGCCTTTCGTCCCATACTAACATTCCGAAGCCTCTCGCCAGCATACAATCTGCAAACGCGCAGAAACGCACAAGCGCCGCCGAAGAGAGTCTAAGAAATGTCAAGGCTAGATTCCAGATTGCCGAAGATGCTGAGAACACAGTACGACAGTCGCCCCAAGTCGCCCGCACACCTATTGCGCGACAGCTGTTCGCCAAGCCCGAGAGCGCTGGCAAGGAGAACGTTGACAGCAGCTTCCACGCCAATGTATTCGAGAAGCGCCCAGCACAGTCTCCCGCACCAGCATGGAATCCCATTCAGTCCTCACAAGACACGGTAATGTCTTCAGAAGCCAGCCAAGTCTTCTCGCCGCCACAGAGCTTCTCGACTCAGCCCACACAGCCAGCCCAGTCCTTCCGTCATTCGATACACGACAAGGAAGAGGAGCGCGAGACTGGCGATTCTTTTGTTTCAGCCAATGAAGGTTTCGCAAGCAAGAACGCGTCGAGGGACGCCTCGCAGACAAAACACGCAGATGTATCTGCCATGAGTGTGGACGACGACGAGTACAAGGCTGACCACTCGCGAGACGAGGCTGATGGTACCATGATTCACCACGACATTTCTGATGGAGAGGACCACGACATGGAGGACGAGGATATGGCCGATTTTCCCGAACCACCACACGTGGTATCCGAGCAGTACAGCACTTCTGCTGAAACCCACGACGCGCTCGACACGGCGAACAATCGCACTCTGGCCCCCGAGCCCAAGACCACATATGCTCAAGACCACTCAACAACACCGTCAGGCCCGCCGCCCGCATCTCCCGAAGCCGAAGTCAACGATACGCTCATCCACCATGACGTCGACGACGAAATGGACGTTGACGATGACGTGCGCTCGCCTTCAGACAACTCCAGCCCCGTAAAGCCGCTCGTTAGGAAGAGCAGTCTTACTTTTGCTTCTCTCCCCGCGCGCGAGCCGTTGCTCCCAAAGAAGAGCATGGGCAATCGCGTGTCACGCATCAGTCACCTCGACCAGAACAAGGGCCGCAACAGCCATATGGGTAGATTTACAGGAGGAAAGAGCCTTGGAGGCTCACAGCTTGCGCATCCAGCAGAGACGCAACATGCGGACGACATGGACGTCGATGAAGACCGACCGGAGCTCCAGCGAGAGGAATCAGAAACGACCAAGATCCACAACAAGACTTCCACACAGCGTCTGTATGAGCGTATCAATATGCTCAAACAGCAGAACGACGCACCGAAACGCATCAGCCAGAATATCGTATCCGCACAATCGCAGCCTGAGAGTTCTACTATGCAAGCAAAGGAAGAGGTCGCACCTGCGCCAGCTTCACAACCAGCATACCCCAGTCTTCCCGCACCAGAAGCCACGCAGGAGGAGGATGACGATGACGACTGGATCTCACCTGTCCGAACAGCAGCAGTCGCCCCCAAGGTATCCAGGCCGGCTTATAACAAAAGCTATACTGCTGATGCTCAGCCATCACCAGCCAAACACGTGCCAGCCAAACTCACCAACCTCACTTCATTTTCAAATCCAGATCTCTCAGCAGTTGCTGAATCAACCACGCCGGTTGGCTCTCCGACTAGTAAGAAATACATGGATGGCCCCCTCAGCGCATCGAAGTCTAAATTGTATTCAGCATTCCGCTTAGCGAAGGAAAAGCTCATCGGGTCGAGTGCTACTAGCGCTCAGGTCAAGATGGACGCTCTCAAAGAAAGCCCTGCAAGACCCAAGTTGCCGTCCTCAGATGCATCAGACGAGGTCTCCAGCAGCCCCAAGCGCGCAGAAAGACCAGTCTCCATCTTCAACCACATGCGCTCGCCTTCTAAGGATTCCATCAAGTCTGGTAAAAGTGCTACTATGCCTGGTAGCCCTCTCAAGGGCGATGGCCGCCGAACTCGCAGCTCTACTGAACGGGAGAAGCAGAAGGAAAAGGAGACCCGTGAGAAGGAGATGCGGGAGACCAAGCAGCAGCAGCGTGCTGAGGACAGGCTCAGGCAGATGCGTGAGAAGGAGCAGAGCAAGGCCGCCGCGCAAGCTCAGAAGGCTAGGGCCATGGGAGCAAAGACACCGACCGCCATGTCCTCCCAGTCAAGCCTGAGAATGCCTACTGCCGTGGCTGCGAACAAGACGCCAGCTCAGGCAGCCCCACAACCGCCCGTGTCTCGCCCTGGCGTCCCTCGATCGAATACTGCCTCTTCCAGAGAACAAGATGTTGACTCTGGCGACGAGATGCCACCCCCACCTCCACCAAAGAGCCTTTTGCCCACTACTAAGGCCACCAAAGCACCTCTTCGAGAGCCCAGGAAACTTGCCAAACCAACAAGCAAAGACGCAATAACCACGAAAGCACCACAGAAGATCATGGTTAACCTCAAGAGTAGCCAGTATGGCCAAGCCCCACCTCCTGCAGCTCGTCCAGCTGCATCGTCCAGCAAGCCTCTTCCTTCTGCTCCACAGAGCCTGAACAAGTCTGTAGGCCCATCTTCACGACCTCCTCCAGCTGCGTCATCTCGACCGGCTTCAGCTCTGTCTACCAAGTCCGTACCCGGGACCAAGACATCAAAGCCTGTTGCTAAGCCTGCTGCAACCCGAGTTGCCCGAGCGCAAACAGTCGTCGAGAAGCCCAAAATCTCAGCGTCTCAGCCACCTCGATCTGATCTCGGAGCCGCCCGACCTGTATCACGATTGCAGACAGTTCAAGACGCCAACCGTATTAATATCCCTCCTATCAACCCTGCTAAGCCTCCTCCCAAGCGACAGTTCCCTGGCGAGGGTGATGAGACTCTTCATCGTCCGGCCAAGAGACCTTCGCAACAAGCGAAAAATCTCAACCCAACTACCCCAGGCCATGCTCAATTCGCCAAGGGCAAGATTCCTTTCGCTGCCGAGTCTTCATACCAGCCGGCGTCCCAAACACCCCACATCCAATACCCCAACGGAGACGACATCAAGCTCCCCGAAATCATGACCGACTCCGAGGATGAAGACTCCGAAAACGAGTTCGAGCAACCAAGCTGGGTTAACACGCCCAACCTACGCGAAATGCTCAGCAACCAGCAGCTCATGGACCCCGAACACATCTTCGGGCCCATTGCACCATTGGAGATGGAGAAGGTGTTCCCCAACAAGGAGCGCCACAAGAGGTTCCGCGAGCGTACTAGCAGCGCCTACTGGGCCAACGACGAAGTCACAGCTGAAGAGAAGCGGAAGGAGCGCGAGGCGAGAGAACGTCTTGTGAGGGATGGCGGATGGACGTACAATCCATCGCCACTTCCTAAACAGGCTGGTTCTTCGAGATGAAATTGTCACGACGGTTTGAGGTGTCAGCATCTTCATTCAGGCGCTTATGTCTATTCAGAGGACAGCGCGTCCGATGTTTGAGTCTTGCGTTGTGTGTGTGTGTGTGTGTGTGTGTGTGTGTTGTAAATATATGTTGTCCGAGGCGCATCACGATCCGCATGAATGAGCATGAAGAATAGGCGTGCTTGGAGGTATTGGTTAGGTCATTGTTTGTAAAGGCGTTATGGGATTGGCAAACATCTTCAGGATGAGCGGAGCATCGGCCCCAAAGAGTGGCTGGCTATGATTGCTGGCGTTTTGATGTTTTATCGGCTTACTTTCTTGGATTAATTTTTTTTTTTGGAGTAGCTCTATGAAATGGACACTCTGATCACGTTCACATATCAATCGCTTTAGTGTATCTGATGACCTGATCTTTAATTGATAATATGCTTGTGGATGTTGTCTCTCTTCAACGCTGATATCGTAATGTGAACGGGGCGGCTGCAAAGCCGTTCAACGGTGTAGGCAGCATGCAGATGGAGTAGAGTGTATCTATCATAGTTGTGTGCGCGCAGTGGTGAAGCAGTATCATAGTTGCTACCGTTAGGCAAGGTTCAATCTATGTATTTGTCCATAATATTCTTCCATCTCCTTTTCTCTATTTCACAGCCTAGGGTACGGTTTCCGATGATGAAAAGCAATTCTTTAACCTTTCCATGGCATTGTTTTCTTCTACAGCCAGACGGAATGCTTTTGTAAGCGCCGTGTACGACAAATTGGCGTAGTTGGTGCCATACCCGTGGTCCTCGCCGTCAAACACCATCAAAAGAGGAAGTGACAGCGGAAGGCAAGAGACAGATTAGGCTGTCTGCATAGCTTTCAGTCAGATGTGACGTACGGTCATGAACACCCATTGACCATGTTTACCAAGCAGTCGGTTGCCACAGACATGGCATCATTGGGATGGAGTCGCAGAGAGCATCTTGGAGCGGAGTCATGTTGTATTTCCCGTAAGCAGCGCCGACTGGTCAGACACCGCTCTCACAATTGCTAAGTTCAAACGAGAGCATACCTATAAACGTCCAATAAACCTGGCGAGTAGTTTATAGACGGCATCCGTCGGCCCCTGCGGGACGTATCTTGGGTTTCCCGGCTCGTTGCATGGTGGCGGCCACGTTGGAGAGCGGAGATGGGGTAGTGCATGCTTCCAAGACCACCGATAGGATGGTGTGAGGGGAGGCAGAGATAGAGTAGGGTTACCAGCCGGGTACCGGAGCAGAGGAGGGATACGTGCATGAAGGGACCAAAGCTCGTAGCTTTGATGGCGTCTTTTGCGTGGAATCTTATAAATGGAGGACGCCGCCTGATAGAAATGGTGCCTATCTCCATTACTGTGAATGTGGTGTGACATGATGTGCTGGCTGGCGTCCACTACCTGGTAGACAACAATGACAAATAGTAAGGAATTGCGAAAGGAACATGTGACGCACACCCAGATGTAAAGACATATGAATACATACGGAGATGTAGCGGAGAAGAAAACTAGGCGGAAGGGCAATGGGAGCCCAAAGAGTGAGGCATACTTATCCTAATTCGTTCAACGTCCGTAACGTTGTCCAACCATTCTCATGTTCAAAGGCTCGCACTGTAACACCTGTAACACCTGTCAGGGCTGTCAGGAACATGTCAAATCTTTGTGTCGTGGTACCCAGAAACAGAACTAGCCGCCGTGGTACTCGTCCCCATTTGCGCATCTGACCCGGAGCAAGTACTGGGGTTGTCCTGTTCAATTGCGAGGCAACGATGTATGCAAGTTCCTTGCACCATCTAAAGTCCCTACTTCTGGATGGCTCGGCGAAAAGGAGCCCAATAGTAGAACAGTCTCAATTTTCGTCAGCCAGGAGCGGTTTGTTGCTTCGTGCGATCCGTATGGGTTTCCAGGTTGGTGAAGCGACTATCGCTCGGGCGCTATGCTAGCTTTCCCACGGCTTCTAGATCGTCAGATAATCTAAAAAGATTATCTAAAATAGCACGATGCAGATAGGCACTGGTATCGAGAGCGGATACCTATCTCGGCAGTCGCACGTCGTGAGGGGTGGGGCAATGCTGCTCTTGTTGCACCGCGGTCAATGAACTGCGCCCTGTTGAACCATTGCACTGACGTGGAGCGAAAAAGCAAGTAAATCGGTATGGTGATCCACACATACTTTTGCTACTTTTATTGAACGTGCATCTGCTGCTCGAGTGTCGTCTTATGCCGTCCTACCATGTGAGAAGCGCCACAAAGCTTGATTGTATCACCGCAGCTGTCAGTCAGAACCTCTTCTGGAGCACAGAGCATTTATCTTCGACAGTGAGTTGCTCCGAAAACCTTTCGCGAGACGTTGTGTGCCTGATCGTCGTCACTTGTGACGCTTAACAGTGGTTGTTCCTGACATTTCAGCCGGACGAGGTGCCTTTTAATGGAAACAATGCGGAGGTCACCTCTGCATACTTCTGGTCCTAGTACGAAGGCACTACTGAGCGTGGCCTCCAGATCACCTTGTTGAAAGCGCAACAAGAGGCGATTTCAGGGCTTGGTAGTACGGAAACCGTTTGGTGGGGCAGAAAGTCGATTGCACTCAGTGCTTCCGCGTCGTAAGGTTGCGTGAGACACGTCTTTACGCGTCACCCGTCGGGCACGAGGGAGGGAGATTTTGACAACTTGGTTGCACCATTCGCCATATCAAAAAGGGCTGAGCGGTGTCCGGACCGGACGAATGCAATTGCTCTGAAATGCCATGAGCAGGCCTTTTGCGCGTGCTGGAATGGTGTGGCACAATCGTGAGATGACTTTGGCTGGATAGAGAACGCTTAGGTAGCTAGTGCCTGTAAGAAGCAGGATCAAAATTCATGCTGCGAGAGCGGCATGATGACAATTTGTCATTAGAGTACCACTCATTGTGTAAGAAAGCGATGTAGAAACGATTGAATCTAGACGCTGAGGACGTATGCAGTGCTTTAAACATAAGTTAACACTCGCTCGGTGCACAGCTCGCTGCCGTTTGGTCGCACTGTCTTTTTTGCTTAATCCCAAAGAGGTACTACTGCCGACGTCTTCACTGAAGAGATAGATGTGTTACGACACTACATGTCGTGCTGAATGGCCACGCAATTGGATACGGTCCACTTGCGCTTGTAGTCTCGAACTGTCTTATTGCTGATATTTGTGATCTTTCTCGTGCCTCTATTGCTTGAAAAGCCAGTGAAGAGCTTGTCCGTAGGACATCTCTGGCAGTTATGCTTGTCAGACATTGATCGAATTTCGGATACTTGATCCGCCAGGCCACGCGTACGGCAAAAAAGATAGCGAGGTAACTAACAACTCCTTTACGGTATTGTCTCAAAGTAAGCACTCTTGAATGTCGGCCCGGCGACGAGATTGCGGCTTGCGCCCACTCTGGTATCTGCAAAGGTCAAGGTATCTCATTGCCTGTGTCATGCACAATGATCACACTCAGAGGCCGCTCGAGCACGGTATCGTTTTACCTGGGCTCTTGTGGATAGATGTCTTGAACCCAGAATTGAGTGCCCGCTGAAACAACAAGACAGCCATGGAGCCTCAGTAGCTGATCTTTGCCACTCAACTCGATCCTGAGCTCACAGTACAGCGATACCTTGCTGGCTAATCCCGGACGGTTGAGCCGTCTGTCATCCCACTGTGACGGCTTCTGTGCGACCAGCGGAAGCGGAAAGACTCTGCGCATATGCACGATGATCGACAGCGAGTGCGCATCTCCTCCCCTACCTGGTCGCCGTACGAGTGACCCGAAGTCCCAGAACGCAGTGAACCCTGAGCCAATTGAAGCTGTGGCGTCGAGAGTCTGCTCATGATCTCACGATGGCGCTCTGCTTTGACCGGAAGGCAGTATGAGTTGTTCGAATCTCCCACCGCCGGCTGCGCGCAGTGACAGCGGGTCAGGCAGTGAGTATCCAGGCAGCCTCGCTTGACGGCATCATTTCACCAGTGGAAGAGCGTCAAAAGTACAGAATAGTCCTGAAAGAGCTCTTGATCAAGCGATGGCCACGGATGGCCACATGAAAAGCTGCAGCTTGGCCTTTTCTGTCTTTGAGCGGTCTGCGCTGAGACATAAACACCGCCTCTCTTCGTGGGAAGATCTGCAAACCTTGCAACGCATACTGGGACCGATAGGGCAAGCAGTTTTGGTCAATGATGTCCAGCAACGCGCATGTTAGGTCGGGGTTCGCTCTCGATATCTTTGCCTGGCGGATAGGTGAAGGGGCTTGCATTAGAGTACGTCATGTCTCACTGCCGAGAGATTATTGTGATCAATCCGAGAATGCTTTTCAGAATATCAACTTTGAATGAAAGTTTGGTCGCGATTGCAGGGGCAAGCGAGCAGGGCCAAGGTTGAACATCTCGAGTATCGCCAGCGGGAACAAGGCTGAAAGCACACGTCAATGGTGTAAACCAATAGAGTTCTTTGAGAAAATCGCAATCGTGCAGATGTTCCGAGACCCGTGAGAAATTGGGCCACGTTTGCAACGAGAGGACAGAGACCGTGCACTTGTACTCCTGCGGAAAGCTGCAGATAAACATTACAACGATTCGTTCTTTCATGCCATACTGACAAGGAGGACGCAGTAGATCTGGAATCCTGTGAAGGACCAAACACAGCTAATTTGAGTTTGGTGATGCCACTCATGTGTAATGGAAAAGGGATCTGCAATGTGGTGGTGCAATCGTCGAATAGCCTAGCAGTGGACGCCGATATCGAAAACATGGACACTATTCGTTTTCAGTCCACCGTATCCGTTGTAGGTCATGTATAGACGTTGCTGGGAAAGGTGAGATGCCGCAGCTCTCACTTAGAGCACCAGTGATTGGTGAGTCGCGGCAGTGCTGCCAGCTCGCACGTTCCCCATGGCCCACAGGAATTGTTTCGGTTGATATCGACCCATATACCGTTTGAACAAAGGTAATAGATGTAGATCCCAGTCTAGATGCAAGGTTCAGG